AGGCCCGAAACGTCAGCCTTCCTGCTCCTCTGATGCTGCTTGGCCAGCTGTGTTCATCCAGCTCTACACCTTGTTATCTCAGATTCTCCAGCATCTGCAGTTCCTGCTATCTCAGAACTTTCTCAGTTCTGACAAAGGGTGACTCAACCTGAAACGTTAACTCTCACCCTTTGTCCATTATGTCCAGGAAGGGTAGTCGGTTGTTGATCTCTCCTTCTTTTGTGAATTTTATCTTGGTAAGGACGTTGCCAACCCTGTTGGAACCAATCTGACCTATATTAGTCATTCAGCGAATTTAGCCAAACAGCCCAAATGAAGTCTGAGTTGCTATGGCAACACATGCGTTTACATACACTTTGTAGCATGGAGCTAGAAATTGTGATGAAGCTCCAGTGTTTTTCCATCACGTAGCTGAGCAGCAATCTCTCCCAACTTTGCTGCCTGCTGTTATTATACATTGGAAAGATTTTACCCATTGATACCCAATCTGCCTTACTGCATTCAGATGGCACCTTCCTTCGTCAGACTTGAACTTGGAGCTGTTTCTGACTCAGAGTCAGGGTGCTACCTACTAAGCAACAAGTCCTCTCAGTACACTATAAACTTTTGCAAAATGGCAGGAGCCAATTGCATTTGAAATGTACCTGTGATTTTATTTTAGTAATTCTGATTTGTGGGCAAGACAAAGGAAATGGTACCAATGGATAGGACAGAGTATTACTTTGGCATCCTCAAGGTTACAAACATTAATATCCATGCACTACACAGGCCATAAACTGCTTAAAAATGAGAGGAAAGGCCACCAAGAATTTTACCTATCCTCCTCAGAAAATAGAAAGCCAGCACCACATCAGCAGAGCTTTGTGCCATGTCATTTTCTAACCACAAAATTCCTTTTTAAGTACAGGCATAGCAGTGTAAGACAAAAATAACCATCAAAATTCTTTGTGAGTTGAATTGAAAGTAGTTACACTAAAAGTGGGACAAATATTTCTGTGGCTAAGTCTTGGTATATTGGATTTTTAAAAAAATTCTTTCACAGGATTAGGGCATCGCTGGCTCGGACAGCATTTATTGCCCAGATGGCAGTTAAGAGTCAACCACATTGGGGTCTGGAGTCACATGTGGGTCAGGGATGGTATTTTCCTTCCTAAAGGATGTTATAGAATGAGATTGTTTTTTACAACAATCGACAATGGATTCATGGTCATCAATTAGACTCTTAATTCCAGATTTTTATTGAATTCAAATTCCACAATCTGCCATGGAGGAATTTGAACCCAGGTCCACAGAACATTGCCTGGATCTCTGGATTAACAGTCCAGCAATAATACCACTAGGCCGTTACCTCCCTTTCATCACCTTCTACATGCACAATGTCTAAAAGAAAATCAGAAAACTTGCCAACTTGCCACATCACTTTCCATCTATTTAAATTAATGAAAATAAATCAGCAAAGCTCCTTCACCAAGACATGTTGCTCCACATCGTTTTATTTTCAAATAAATACCCTAGTAATTTGATATGCCAAATGCAGAAACTAGAAAATATACATTTTTTTTTGGCTTTTCTCTCAAACAGGCTGCTGTTTTACAGATACAAACCTTCCATAGTATTTGTGAGAATACTGGCCACACTCAATGCTCTCTGCCTTTGCATAGGATCTTCTAGAAAATCCATAGAAAATTGATGAGATCCTGATCGTCTCTTCTTAAGATCTGTTTCTATATTTGTGCCCTGCAAATGATATAAAATTCAGTTATTCAGTTTTATCTCAAGCTGTTCACTTCCAAACTTTTCCGAAGAAACTTATTCTAAAAAATGTTAGAATAAAAATAATAAAAAAAAAATTGCAAATTCATGGTATATTTTCCTTGCACTACACTTTCAATTATACTGTTTAGCATTTATTTATTGGCAAGATGCTGAAGATGCTGATATTTATGCCAAAGTGACAGTGTTAATACTTGCATCAAAGTTAATCTTTCAGCTGCAGAACAAAGACATGTAGTATCAGATTTAATTTTCTATCTCTCACACAATGTAGGAGAATCATGGAGAGAAAGGAATTATCCAGTTTGAAAGAGTGAAGGCGATGGAAGTGCTGATATCAGCCGACTTCTACTTCTGCGCTGCTGACACCAGCAATGAGAATAAGATCAGTTACAGAGTATTATTTCTCATGCTATTTTGTGTATGAGTATGCACAATTCCAGCAGACAACTGGAGTCTTGTGAAATGTGCAGTACGTGGATATCTGTTCAATAGTCACTAATGAGCCCTGTTAAAAAGAGTATATATGGGACACTAATTACTACAGTGAACTTTTCATGTCCAGTCTGCCAGTATGGTAAGAAGAATCACAAATATAATTGGTGCTTGACATTGTAAGTGGACGTTTAAATATAGTCAAAAGCAAAGTAATGCAGATGGTGGAAATATGAGAAATACGTGAAATTATCCACTCAGCAAGTGAGGCAACATCCATGGAGAGAGAAAATGGAGTAAACTTTTCAGATTGATGACCTTTCATTCAAACTACTTCGATTGAAAGGTTAGTTACCTGATATTCTCTCTACAGATACTGCCGGACATGGAACGTCTATCATATTTCTAGTTCTTTTTTTATTTAAATTGAGGAATTGGGTAATTATCCAGAGGTAAAAACAAAAATATTAAAGCCATAATTTTTACCACTGTTTCTCAGGATCACTGGTGTTTGACACCACAGAAATAAAGCCTAAATAATGCATGAATAATGGAAAGCTGTTGTCTTATTTCTTTTGAAGAGTAATATGTGACTGCTCAATATCTATTTGCTGTGTATTTTACTTTATATATTATTTCTTTTGCAAAAAACAAACAAGTTTTGAGATTGCATACTCATGTATTTTATCCTGGTGCTTTTGAGCAATCACATCAACAAACTGTAGATACAGAAAATGAGAGTCAAAATATCTTCCTGTACAAATTATGCATCATACAGCCACTGCTGTCCAGTCCTTGTTATTTTTTTTCCTTTGTTGCATAATTACCACAATCTGACATTTTGTTGGCCATCTTTCATTTACAGGATGTGGGCATACCTAACTATATATTAGACAAATAATACCTGGGTACAGGGAGAATGGTGGTGCAGTGTTTCATGACAGAGAATTAAAGAAATTTAAAACAGAATACCTTGAAAATAAGCTCAAAATTCAGGAAACCATATAAGAAGAGGATATACGACAGAGGATGAAGATATAAATTAAAATCAAGCATACAGTTTCTCATTGATTTTGAATTTGTGTAACAGTCCAGATCTAGAATTACGTGAGAACTATAAGACAGAAATGACTATTACTTTTCAAGTACATGATTCCTGATTTAAAAAGGATATGAGTACTTTTAGCATAGTTCATTTAGAACATAACAATGTCAAAAATAATTTTAACAATTAATGTCCATTTTCCTTCAGTGGGCCAGTGCAAATGCAAATATTAGTTCCACTTCCATGATTGGGATGGAGGTGTTGTTAGTTATATACAACAGCCATCAACTGAAAATCATGGCAGATTCCTGAGAGATCGGGAAAAGTACACTGTAGGATTTAATGAATCCAAGCTAACTCCTAAACAGTCTTTTGGACAGACTCCCTCCAAAGTTATGTTGACACTCCAGTAGAACAAGTGCCAATCCTCAGAGGCATTGTTTCATGATTATATTTTTTAAGGTTGTTCATGGCTGTCACAGTATTTCTTTCACCTTTAAGCAAGAGATCTGTGAACTTTGCATGCAAGTATTTGAATTGAATAGTGAAATCCAGTGTTTACTAAACAAGGACTAGCGTTGTATTCATATTATTATGTCATACCCTTTACATGTAAACTATCGAGAAAATAGCCTGTTTTCAAAAAGACCATTTTAATTCTTAAAAGTGTGATTTCTGGGCTATCAGATTATTGCTCACAGTTCACACAAGGTAACTATGATTGCGTACTCGTCAGAAAAGTGATTGATGTTAATATAACGTAACTAATAATATTAAAGGTTAAGGATACACAGGAGAAGGGCATTGATTATTTGAATACCTTGGGCACAATAGAAAAAGACTTCGCCCAACAATGACTAATTCAATGAAGTATTCAGTTATTTTAAATCAACTCAGTCATGCTGTGTCAGATATCTAGAGCAGGTGGAACTTCAATCTGGGATTTCTGGCTCAGAGGTCAGGGACACTACTGCTGTGCCGCAAGGCCCCTACTAAATTTAATTATTTAATCTTCCTTCAAAGTTATGATTTTGGTTACAATGTCCCTTTAAAGGATGATTCACTAATGAATTAGTTCATTTTGTTCATTTGGTATACAGAAGAACGTAAAGAGACACATCTGGGACACTGGATTTTAGTTAGAGAGGAGCAAAACATTTCTGATGTTGAATTCTATAAAGAAATTTAGCATTGAGCCAAAGATTTCATCTAATTTCCTACTTTATCCAGCTTCAGAATGCATTAACAGTCAATAGTGAGCTGAAGCCATAAGTTTTATTGAATTGATGGCTTGATCTACAAAGTATTTCAGTATTTATTAGTACAAAGATAATAGATTCCCAATTGCATTACCTGTAGTGAATTAGAGAGTAATGTTAAAGTGTGAGAGCTGCAGTGGCAGACATTAAAGTAAATGAAACTGGATGGTGTTAAAATATTTTTGATTGGTTTCTGGGATAATATCAACCATGAACATACTTTCTGCTGCATTTCTGAAAAGCAATGCATGAAAATTTTAATATAGTTTATTGTAGTTAGAGAGCTATCCTATACATTATTTTCAAGTCTTTTGAAAAGAAATACAGGATATCATTTGGTAGATAAGCTATGCATTTCTCAATGGCATCCTATGCTGTAATCATTGAGTACCACATGGCCATCACGCCTAATCTAACTATTTAAAACTTTCTTACATTGTCATCAGTAGCTGGCTTATCTATTATCACCTCTGGCAGAAGTCGTCCAATGGGTGATGTTGGAGTTGAAGGTCCACCGGCAAGTGAAACTACTCCATTGCAGTCCACTGTGCTGTGCATCTTCCCATTCACTGGAAGCACTGGTAGCATCCTGGATGACCTACTGGTCTGACTAATGTTACTGCTGCGTCTCTCACCCTGCCTCCGTGGAATAAAGAGTGAGCCCCTTCTGCTTTCATTGTCTTCAAAAGTGCTGTGCTCATCATCAGCAAAATCATTTTCTGACCCGACATCTTTAGTCCGTCCTTTAAAACTGAAGATGCTGCTTCTGCTGTTGCGTCTTGGAGAAAAGATGGAGCCACGAATACTTAGCAGTGACTGAAAAAGAATGACAATATACGAGAATCAGTATCACTTCAATTTTGAACTATGATATGTCATTCCTGTTTTATACAGTTGTTTACAGATTTCCTCAGACTTTCAATCCCAAAGAAGCAGTCTGCTGCCATTTTAATCTGAATAAGCCTTTCTACAAAATAACTGAAACATTGCTTTCAGAAACATAGAAATTTTGCTTGAAATACCTACAGCTGGGTCACTTTCAATATATGAATGATTTAAATACACCATGAAATCCACCGATTTGTCATGTAACTTGCAATCAAGTTAAAAAATTGAGACATTAGTTAGCGTATTACATATGCCCTTTTACAGCACTATCTAAATAAGAAGAGACAGATCGTTTTATCAGAGTGGAACTAGCTGGTTGATTCTTCATTAATTACGAGACAATTTTCTGCATTTATGTAGACTCTAATTTAGCCTACTTTTCTTCTCCATTGTTTGCTCTTTGCAATCTTTTTGGATAGAGAAGACAATATTCTTGTGTCTGAGGCCTGCTCCCATGCTACAAAAATTTTATGGCCTCCAAAAGAATATTTTTCTGCATAAATTATACCAATGCAAACAAACACGTATTAAATCAATGTATAATTTGTTGCTGGTGTTCAGCAACAATTCTCAATCCCAATGCTGGAAACACTCAGCTGGTCAAGCAGCATCTGTGAGGAAACAGGAAGAAGGTTTGCCTTTCATTCAATGATTGCTCTCATAACTGGTCAAAAACTTGAAATTTTAACTCCATATCTCTTTCCAGCTGCTGAGTGTTTTCCAACAGTTTTTTCTTCCTAATTTCACATCTCCAGCATCTGTAGTATTTTACTTGTTTGCATGTGAGATCCTAACAGCACAATAATAGCCTTCTCATCCCGCAAAAGAATAGTTGTACACGGTAGCAGTACAGATGGACGTCAAAAGCAACACCAACATTGAGGAAGAGGAATAAAGTTTGAAATAAAAAACTAAAAAGGAGTATGATTCACATAACTGAAGAATGAAACATGTGACTTTCTGTGGATGTCAATAATGATTAAATACATGTATTAAGTACAACTGTAGTCTGCCTGGTTCCTGATCACAAACTTAATGCTCACCATTGCTCTGTTTCTTTTCCAACTCCTCATTCCTTAGCTCAAATTCGACCCAATCACAACAATTGTTGTACAGCGATGAGTCATCCTCTTCTGAATTTAAATGTAGCACCAAACTGTTACCCAAAATCCTGAAGAGTACCTCTCATTTACCTTGCCTTCTCTTTTAAGGGTTTCCATCTGGCTCCATTATTGCGAAAACCTTACCACACGCTGCATACAGGTCATTAAAATTGTCAACAGCAATGGTGCTGCCATTGTTGTGTTTGCAATAACACATGTACTGTCAAGTTTAGAACACAACAGCCATATGAAGGCAAAAAAAGACATCAGGTTAACAGCTAGATTTTATGAGATACAGCACGACATACGGAGAGGAATTTGCTGTTTAGATGGTGAAAGTGAAAGTGTGCGGGTACAGTTCAGTATTTAAAGTTAATGAACACCCCCAAAGTTAGTCCAAAGATGCGCAGGATACGTGGTTTGGCTATGCTAAATTGTCCATAGTGTCCAGTGACATGCAGGGTTACAGGGATAGGATGGAGGGATGGGTCTAGATGGGATGCTCTTTGAACGATCAGCGTGCACTCAATGAGCCCAACAACCTGTTTCATACTGGAGGGATTTTAAAATTCTATGACCTAGTTAAGAATCCCACTCTAACCTTTTCCTTTAGCAGTTAAGGAAATAGACCACTCAGATGTTTATCAGATCCTAGAAGCAACGTGATATTGTTGCATCATGTTTATTTCACAATTTTGTGCAAATATACAGCAATCTGGAAGAGTGCTTTAAGAAATCTGTCTTTTGTCTTTCGTTATTTTGTCATGTACTATTCCAGCATTTTTTGGTCCAGTGGGTCAAGGGTAGCTCCAAGTATGTAGGGTAAATGCAGGTTTGTTTCAGAAGTTATCTTTTCTATTGCAATTCTCTTAAAATCAAAAATAAGAATATTTGAATATTGTCAGTAACATGTTACAACAACTCCTTATATAGGTCTTTTGATAGAATAAAATATCTGAAGGTGCTTTACAGATACATAAGAAGCTAGAATATACAGCAAGCAGCCAGTATTACTGGCAGAACAAAAAGTATATTTGCTTCTGTATTATTCCTTGATCCTAAAATCAAACCTTTACCTATCCTAAATTGCAATATGTAACATAACAAGTAATGATATTCTAGCTTGTGAATTTAGAACACCAGAGCGAACTAACTACAACCCCACTCTGCTGATTTCACAATCATACTTTGTCCCTAAGATCATGCAACCAATGATGAAAATTTGCTACTTGCAGAATCATTTAAGGAGTGCTAATTCCTTGAGGAATGAAAACCTTTTAAGTATCGTCTTGTTGACTTCATCCAATTTCCCCATATATTTCCTTCTTTGTAATGACACCAGCAGGATCATCCTTATAATTTAGAAAGGCGCAAAGTACCCATTTAGTACCTCAGCCATCCCCTCTTTCTGCACAAGATCATCCCCTTTTTGGTCCCTAACTAGCATTAAATGTTATTTGACAATCTTTTAAATCTACATATGTTTATGAAAGACTTTTATGCTCTCTTTTATGTTACCAGCTAATCTATTCCTAGTCAATTTTTTCACTCTTCTGGGTTCCTTTTCCCATTCTCCATGGTTCTCCACTGTATTATGAATTTGGCATTTATCACAAACCTTCATTTTTTGTTTTATTTTCACATCCATAGGTTAGCTGTGTCTCAACCTGCAGCTGTGTCAGAACAGAAATGGATGAGTTTCAATAATGGCGATTGGAATCACATTCTGGGATTCCTGCCTCCATTACCATTGTTGGTTATTTTTAGTGCCACAGCATAAGCGTGTGGGTTGTAAGCCCACATTCAGCACTCTTACCTTTGCCAGCTCAGTTGTCGAGATTGCATTTGACATGCTTCACCCACTCCCTGCCTCCATTCCACCCTATCTTCGTAGAGTCAGACCCATTTTTTGTAGGTGATATCGTTCATAACATCTCAAAGGAGTTGTGAACCATGGAATTCTGATCTGTAGTTAGGGAGTTTATGACATTTAGCTTCAAAATGTTTGCTAATTTCACACTTGGAGTATGTGTCTAGTTTTGTTCTCAATACTGAAGGAAAGATATACTTGCCACTGAGGGAGAGCAATGAAGGTACATCAAGTAATTCATTGGTTGAGGGATTGTCCTATGAGGAAAGATCAAATTGACGAGGCCTATATTCACTGGAGCTTAGAAGAATGCGAGATGCTTTCATTCAAACACATAAAATTCTTATAGGGATTAACAGGAAAGATAATTCTCCGAGCCGAGGGCTCTAAAACCAGGGACGTGGTCTCAGAGTAAAGGGGAAACTCGTCACTCAGAGGTAGTGAATCTTTGAAATTTACTGCCTCAGAGGGCTGTCAAGATTCAGTCTTTAAGGTTGTGCAGGACTGAGATCGATACATTTCTCCATATTATCAAAAACATCAACACACAGGAAAATGATGCTGAAATGGAACATCAGCTATGATCTTGAAGAATAGTACAGCCGGCTCAAAAGTCAGGATGGTTTACTCCTGCTCTTATTTCTTATCTTCCTCACATATCATTTGTGGTAATGCAGAATAAGTTAAATGTGTCCTTACCACTGATACTTTGTTTAGAAAAGGTAAGTGACCACTAAACCTAAGGGTGATGCAGTGGTTAGCACTGCTGCATCACAGCACCGGGGACATGCGTTCAGTTCCAGCCTTGAGTCATTGTCCATGGGGACAACAGACATTCTTCCCATGCCTGTGTGGGTTTCTTCCAGGTGCTCCAATTTCCTCCCATTCTCCAAAGATGTGCCACTTAGGTGGATTGGCCATGCTAAATTGACCCATAATGTCCAGGGTTGTTCAGGCTAGTTGAGTTAGCCATGGTAAATATGGGGTTACCGAGATAAAGTGGGGGACTCGGTCTGGATAGGATGCTCTTCGGCGGGTCACTGCAGACTTGATGGGCTGAATGACCTCTTTTTGCACTGTAGAGATTCTATGATTAAAGTGACCTGCACTGTGAAAACCGGTAAGTCTTTGAAGGAACTGGACTAAATATCCACTGGATAAAGTACACTTCTGCAATGAACAGTGTTGAGATCTGGTTTTTATTGAGTCAGTTGCATCTATGCTTTAACCTCTAAATTGATTTCTAGATTAGCCACCTGTTGAGACTTTCAAATTGTGTAACAAATGACCATATGTTTTATGAATTCACGTGCTCACTTCTGCATACTTTGCTGAAGTAGCTGTGCAATTTTATACAATTATAAATGTTCGGGTTGAGCTCCATACACTACTAATGGATTGAGTTCAGCAGGGCTACTCTGGAGACCTTAGGCTTGATTGACTGTTTTACGAGCTCCAGAGAGGATTATGCTTTTGAGGAAGTTTTTGAATGACTGTTGATTTATTTTGGATATTTTCTACAATTACTTCAGAGAATTAAATATTTTTCAGGTGGAGTTTGAAGGTTATGTTTGGTGGTTTTAATGAAGCCTTAAGATATGTAAGGCTTTTTCATGTGGAATTTGAATACATGATTATTTTGAAAGTTACGTGAGCGTCTCAAACACTTCCCTATGTTATTACATGCTCATGAATTCTGGCCATAGTAAATATTGGGTGAGTGCACAAAGTGAGTGATGAGCACAAGAAGGGTATGAAGAGGGCTTAGGGAAAATGGATGGTAAGCACTGCAGTGCCTCATCTCTTTTATTCATCCAGGAATTTCTAACTTTGGATCACTTCCTTTTGTTTGTAGGAATGTATCTTGTCTTTATCCGAACTATCTTGCCTCCACGGGTTTCCCATTACTCATTTACTATTTTAACTCCCAGTATTATAAACTAGGTTACAGTTCAATTCACTGGATTTAGCTCTCCTACAGTTCAGTGTTTTACATTTGGATTTTTCCTCTCTTTTAGATAACTTATCTAAACCTAATGACAATAGAATCATTGCTTCTCAAAGAGGCCCAAACAAAATATGCTGTATTTACTCCACTTCATGAGGCTAAATCACTGAATTTGTTTTCAGATGGGTAGCTGCTGAGATTTTAGGTTATTTCCTTTGCTGAAAAAGAAACACATTTGCACATACTGGAAGCTACATACATTAAAATACAGAAACCTGTTCCTTACAGACAGAAAGAATATATAAACACATTTTGCCTGTTTCATTTTAACAAAATAGATGAGAACCAATTTCTGTTTCATTTCTTAGGGCAAAAGGTTAATGCCTGATTTAAAATTTAAACAAAGCTTCGCAGTTAACTACCTGTCATCGTAACTGGTGCATCCTCTATGGCAACACCTCTACCATTATTGTCTACTTGTCAAACAATCTGCATTCTCCTCTAATTAGGTATAAATGTTATTTTCTATTTACCTTGGTATTCTTGTGAATTATCTGATCAGTACAAGGCAAAAAGCTCTGACAAAATGCATCTTTTTTCAGCAACACAAGTCAATAGTTCAAAACAACTATTTGTTACCATCTTTCTTAATGAAATATGGTAGAAATATCATTGATTACTGTATAATGGAATCATACATTATAAACAATTTATTCCACTTACCTGATGTGGGGAAGAATTTTTCTTTTCGTAAGAAAGACAGTTGCGATCAAGAGAAAACCGGAAACCATTTCCCTTTCTTCCGTTGTCCTCTGATTCTGACTTGTGAATCCTTTCACCTTTATCCTTTTCCTCGGCATCTAGCTCAGTTTGTCTTCGTTTCTTCCTTCTGTTTCGTCTCTCCTTGGCACTCTTTGAACTAAGCTTTGACGCATCTGAGGAACTGTGGGACATTTCACATAGTCCAATTCTTCCATTTTCATCTCCTGCCTCAGCTGCAGCAGCAGCTGCAGCCTGTTCAATGGAAAAAACATTACAACATTTTGAGAGATCACTTTTTCAGTGTTATGAAGGCAGAAAGTGGAAAAGATATTATTTACAACTGGATACTTACAAGTGTCAACTAGATTGACTTAAAAAGGAAATGTTTCTAGTCAATTAGTACATCTTAATAAAAATACATATTGTGGAATACATAGGTTAATATCTTACTAAGATGCGCACAAAAGGAACTGCAGTTGAATGTATTTAAGCATCTGCGTGCCCTTATCCAACCTATACTTTTCAAGCCTATATCTGGGAACATTAAACGTTTATACCGATCAAGAAAAGCATTGAGATGATCAAAATGTAAAAGATGTCCCCGTGCACCATAACAAGGCTGGAACAATGTAAGCACTAAGGTTAGAGGTTTGTCAATAAAAAGAATGTGGTGCATTGAGCTAGAAATTACATTTGCAAAATAGATGGAATAGGTGGGATTTCAGCAACTAACATTTGTTGCCAAAAGGATTTCTGTCAAAGTCTAACTGAAAACTGAGTGGTACTATTTATAAGAATCCCTTAGTGGCCATGCAAAAAAACAGCATGAATTTTGTTCCATTTGTACATGATTATCCTCCACCAATTAAGATGCAAACTGAGTTGTGAAACACAAGGTTCTTTCCACCAGAGAAGCACTGTCTCTGCCTTTCTATCCACGTGGTCAGAAAACATCCAACACTAGGTTATAGCTCAGCAGGTTTATTTGAAAACACAAGCTTTCAGAGCCTCACTCCTTCTTCAGGTGTTAGTGAGAGAGGTAGTATCAGACACAGAATTTATAAGTAAAAGATCAAGAGTCACATCTCTGATCAGGATGCATTAAACAAACCTGAGATGCTGTTAAATCTTTAATCAGTTAGGTTTTAATCCCCAAATTCCTTTCAAGTCAATGTCCTGAGAGAACTAAAGGTTTTATCAGTGTAAAGAAGAGGTAACATTTTAGATCAGACAATACATGTTAGATGTGAGGCTTCGTTTAGAATCCGTTCGTGTTTTAGTTTGGAGTCAGATTGGTTTTATTTCTAAAGTAGGAATGTATAAAATGCCACATTGACTGACTATGCATATGCATGTGAGGGAGAGAGAGAGAGAGAGAGTGTGCACATGCATGTGCATGGGAGAGAGTTGGTGAGAGAGTGTGCACACATGTGTGGGGGAAGAGAGAGAAAGAGTATGTGTGGAAGAAAGACAGTGCATGTGCGTGTGTGGGAGAGAGAGAGTGTGTGTGTGAGAGAGAGAGAGAGAGAGAGTGTATTGGAGATAAAAAGAGAGAAAAAGAAAGAGATAACAAGGTGTAGAGCTGGATGAACACAGCAGGCCAAGCAGCATCAGAGGAGCAGGAAAGCTGACGTTTCGGGCCTAGTCACTTTCTGAAGAAGGGTGTGTGTGTCGGAGAGAGAGAGAGAGAGAAAGAAAAAAGTGTCTGTGTGCATCTGTGGGAGAGAGAGAGAGAGAGCGTGTGCGTGTGTGGGAGACAAACTGTGCGTGTACGTGTGTGTGAGAGAGAGAAAGAGAGTGTATGTGTGTGTGCATGCATCTGTGGGAGACAGAGAGTGTATGTGCGCATGTATGTGTGATGCGTGCCTGTGCGAGGGAGAGAGTGAGTGAGAGAGAGTGTGCATGTGCATGTGTGTGTCTGGTGGGGCGGGGGGCAACAGAAAGAGAGAGACAGAGAGAGAGAAAGAAAGAAAGAGTGTGCATGTGTGTGCGTGCATGCGCGTACGGGGAGGGGGACAGACAGAGTGAAAGTGTGTGTGTGTGTGGGGTAGAAAGAGAGAATGCATGCGTGCGCTTGTGCATGTGTGTGAGGAAAAGAGTGAGAGAGAGTGTGCATGTGTGTGTGGGAGAGAAAGAAAGAGAGAGAGAGAAAAAGTGTGCAGGAGAGACAGTGCATGTTACAGGGAGAGAGAGTTCATGTTAGCGGGAAAGAGAGGGCGAGAGAAAATGTATGCCTGTGTGTGTGTGTGTGTGTGTGTGTGTGTTGGGAGGGGAGAGAGAGAGAAAGAGAGAGAGAGAGAGTTCGCGTTTGGGGTGGGGAGAGAGAGTGAGTGACTGAATGAGAGTGTATAGTGTGGTGGGGTCACCTGTAGTGCAACACGAATCCAAGATCCTGGTTGAGGCCATGGTCATGGGTACCAAACACAGGATACGTCCGATAGAATACCCTTTGTTGTTGAGGTCGTCCCGGGAGTGGAAAAACAATGTTCTTTGCAGCCTTCAACACATTATCAATGACAATGAGCACTTCGCCAAGATCTTCCCCATGCCTCCACTTCTCGTCTTCAAACAACAGCCAAACCTTAAACAGACCATTGTTCACAGCAAACTACCCAGTCTTCAGGACAACACTGACCACAACATTATACAATCCTGTTATGGTAACCTCTGCAAGACATGTCAGATCATCGAGACGGACACTACTATCACACGTGGGAAGACAACCCACCACGTACACGGCAGATACTCATGTGACTTGGCCAATGCTGTCTATTTCATACACTGTAGGCGACGATGCCCCGAGGCATGGTATATTGTCGAGACCATGCAGATGCTACAGCAACGGATGAATGAACACCAAGCAACAATCGCCACGCAGGGATGTTCCCTCCCAGTGGGGGAATACTTCAGCGGTCAAGGACATTCGGCCTTGGATCTTCAGGTAAATGTCCTCCAAGGCAGACTTCAAGATGCACAACAACACAGAGTCACCGAGCAGAAGCTGATAGCCAAGTTTGGTACCAATGAGGACGACCTCAACCGTGATCTTGTCACACTACAGGTGACCCCACCACACTATACACTCTCCCCCTCCCCCACACACACTCTCCCCATCTCCCCCGCGTACATGCACCCCCTCTCTCTCTCCCCCGCACACACGCTTCCCCTCTCCCTCTCCCCAACGTACACACACACTCTCTCACACACACACACACACACACACACACACACACACACAAATCTATTGGGTGAATTTGTATTTGCAGATACATTCTATTTTGTTCAAAAAGTACACAATTTATAGACAGTCAATGTGGTGTTTTATGAATTCCTAATTTAGAAATACAACCAGTCAGATTCCAACCAAAACATGAACAGATTTTAAACAAAGCCTCACACCTAACATGCATCGTCTGATCTAAAATGTTACCTCTTCTTTACACTGATAAAACCTTGGGTTTTCTCAGGACTGTGACTTGAAAGGAATTTGGGGATTTCATATACATATTAATCAACTAAAGCCTAACTGATTAAAGATTTAACAGCATCTCAGGTTTGTTTAATGTATCCTGATCAGTGGTGTGACCCTTTGATCTTTTACTTATAAATTCTGTGTCTGATGCTACCTCTCTCACTAACGCCTGAAGAAGGAGTGAAGCTTTGAAAGCTTGTGTTTTCAAATAAACCCGTTGGACTATAACCTGGTGTCGTGTGATTTCTGACCTTGTGCACCCCAGTCCAACACTGTCACCTACACATCATTTCTAACCACGCTGCATTTTTGTGGGGCTTGGCGGCCTTGAATGCAAAACATACAAGCATCTCTTCTGAATGAATTTTCTGATGAAGGGTCTAGGCCCGAAACGTCAGCCTTCCTGCTCCTATGATGCCACTTGGCCTGCTGTGTTCATCCAGCTCTTCACCTTGTTATCTCTTCTGAAACTGTTGTCCACATTCTGAAGACTAGTACAATATTTTTGTGTGCTGATGTGGATTTTGGAAGCCATAAAAAAAATCCCTCCTTGGAGTGTTTGTGACCAATAAAAGAAGTCTGCGGAGAAGTCAGCAACATTCTAAAGATAAGTGTAAAATATTTTCATATCTTCCAATGTCACAATTAGATAAGGTGTTGTGATGTAAGTTGTTTTTAAATGTGAACTTGAAAACTTTATCCCGTAAGTTTGATTTAGGAATGGTTCCCTTATAAGAGTGACCTTCATTGGGGTGTCCCCTTTTTAGCTCAATATTTTTCAGTTGGAACTCTGTCTCCTTTTCTCTTTCTTTCCCATATCTTTCCCTTTTCGTTCTTTTCCTGCATTCTTTGTTTTTTTTTTCTTTTCTCTGTTAGAACACTAATCCTAATCCCTGCTACTCCACTTGTTATCCAGTTTTAATATATTTGTTTTATGGTCCTCAGCTTCAAGCTGTCGATATTTTGTCAACCATTTTACCAACCATTTTATTCCTTGTCTTTTGAGCAGAATCCATTTCTGATTGCTTAGATATTCTTCTGAATTCTTTTAAGGACAAGGCTGTTAGATTTTCCTAAGTTATATTAACTTATAAGTCACAAATGGAAGTATCCACATCAGTAGATCAGCACTTCATTCTTAAGAAACTTAAGTAAACTTTTGTTCAGTTTTTATTAAAATCAGCTTTTGAAAGAACAATCTGTTTCCCCTGCTCCAATTCAGCTTGGAATGAGCCCTCAAATTTGTCATCACTAGATGAAGCGGGTAAATCAGCTCACTCTTTTTAACCCATTCGCAGTTGGTAGCAACAAATATTTACAGCTCTCATACTTCAATTACAATGTAATTAACTAGATCAAAATTAAGGAGCCAAATTATAGTGTTTTCTTGAGTGAAACAAGGAGAAATTCCATTACCTATTAACCATCAAAAGTGATAAAATGTGACACAAAAAATGTGCAAACAAAGGTAATAAGTTTAAAAAGGAGAAAATGTCCGATATAGACAGAAAAATAATAGGCTTAGCAGTTTTTTTAAAAAAAATCTTACAGACTCTGAGGTGTTAGGTTTTATACCTTAGGCTGATTGTTTAATTGTTGTGTATTCTGCAGAAGTGACAATGTTTACAGTCTTGAATTCTATTGCTGCGAGTCTATTGCCAAAGTTACTTTTTCACCGGCATTGACTGCAAGATTGTGCGAAGCAGAGAGAGAAGCTTCCAGCTCCTTGCTGTTATCAAATCATTTATTTTTCTCTCATCAGCTTTGAATTGCAAAGCGCAATGTCCATTTGTATATTCCTAATACTCTTTTGTTCTTCCAAACAGAATACGCAGTAGTTAACCTTTCACCTCCCAAATATGAATTTGTCATGCGCACGTGAACTAAATAAGAGATGCAAATATCTTTACACTGACTCAATTGGCTGGATCAGTCTTTTGATAAATTGACAATTACAAAACTGAGTTTCATCTATTTAGTTTGGGTTCTCTAGACTTGCTTCGATCTGTGATCAGGTGATCACAGCAGCCATTTTAGGTCAGCATTTGCACTTATCTAAAATAATTTTTAATCCACGATAGACATCAGATAAAACAATCAGATGTTGAAAGTTGAATATTTAAAGTCCAGTTGAAGGATGACGTGTGGCTTGGAGGAGAAATTGGAACCGGAAGTGTTCCAATGGCTTTTTCATGGTAGAACTCGTAGGTTTGGAAGGTACTCTCAAGAGAGCCTTTCTACACATTGTTGTCACTGTCTGTTAATGATAGAGGAAGTGAATGTTGAAGGTGGTGGCTGGGTTGCTAGTCAAATGAACTGCTTTGACCTGGATGAGGATGAGCCTCTTGATTGTTATTGGAGATGCACTCATCCTGGTAAGTAGGCAGTATCCCATCACACTTCTAACTTACGCTTTGTAGATAGTGGACAGGTATTCAGGAGTTAGATTGTAAGTTACTTGCTTCAAAATTCCCAGTCTTTGTTTTTGTAGGGTCTGCATTTATATTCCTCATCCAGTTCAGTTTCTGGCCAATGATGTTGGGGGTTTTAAGGATGGTAATGCCACTAGATATCAAGAGGTGATGGTTAATTTCTCTCTTGTTGGAGATGGTCATTGCCTGGCATTTGTATGGCACAAATGCTACTTGCCACTTATCAGCCCAAGCCTGAATGTTGTCCAGGTCTTGCTGCTTACAAACAAGGACTATTCCAGTAACTGCACTGTCATGAATGGTACTAAACATTGTGTAATCACAGTGAACATCCACACTTTTGACATTATAATGAAAGGGAGGTAACTGATGAAGCAGTAACTCTTTAAAATGCATGCATGCGTGGCAAAGTTTTTTTGGCTCTTCAACCATAAAGCCATGGGGATATAAATACTGATTACTATAACTGGTATCATTATAATGCAATTTGGCAAATTTAGCATATCTGTTGTGGAATACCAATTGTAAAATTTCTACCTGTGCTTCTTCTTGATGTCTTTTAAGTTGTTCAAGCATCTGCTGAAATTCTGCCTCTTTCTGTTCAGCTTCCTCTAAAGTAGCCTGGTTTTGCTCATCATAGGCCATGGCAACAACAGCCAGTATCAAGTTGACCAAGTAAAAAGATCCCAGGAATATAACCAACACAAAAAATATCATGTATGTTTTGCCAGCAGCTCGCAGGGTCTGATAAAGTAAAATATTAATTTTTTTATTACTTTTTTCTATTCTGACAAATCATGGCTTCCATAAGTATACATTCTGTATTTGCACAGATGTATGTTAAAAGAAACCTATTAATCACAAACTTCAATGAACAAGGTAAAAATCCATTCAGGCAAATAAATAGCATTAGCTTTTCTTAAAGTTATTATTAATGTAATAAACAATAATTAATTATTTAAGTATGGCAATCAAAAATAAGATAATTCTCAAATCTTTCATACTCTTTAAAATACTTCTGAAACAGTAGAAGATTTGGTAAGAATATTAACTTTAATGCTAAGGTTATCTGGAAGGCTGGAACTTTGGGATAAATATATGAATGAAGGTATTTAATGACAGTAGATATTTTTTAGATGTTATAAATATCTAATTTCTAATGTGTAAACAAGTACTAGCAAAAGGATATGAAAAAGACATTTAAGTGATTTATTTCTTCAATTCTTTTACTGGCTTTTAGAGATTTTCTTTTAAACTGCAGTAACTGAAGTCTGATTAATTGCTAACAGTATAATAAAGCATTGACTGCATGGGATGAAAGAATAAAACAGATAATGTGGCACATGAAGTACAGTCATCGTGGGTCTTGCAACAAATCCTTGGGTGAAGTCAGGGTTTGGGCGGGGGGGTGGGGGGGGGAGGTGAAGAGGGCAAGTGGATGCAGGCGGCTATTTGCTATAAAATGTAATAAAGACAAGGACCGCACTTTTGGATCCATATTAAGGCAACTCAAATATCCTTTATCTTCAGCATTTTGAGATCCATCTTCAAGAATTTTTTTTCTTATTTTATGATGGGATGTGGATGTCACTGTTATTGGCCACCCCCATGTGTCCTGCAGAAGGTGGTGGGGGGTTGCATTCTTGAAACACTACAGTTCTTCGGGTGCTGTTAGGAAGATTTTTACCTAGCAACAATAAAGGGATGGCGATATAGTTCCAAATCAGGATAGTGTGTGCCTTGAAGAGGTGGCGGTGCAGTTCTCATGCATTGGCTCATGTTCTTCTAGGCAGTAGAGGCTGTTGGTTTGGAAGGTGCTGACAAAGCTATCATTTTGAACTATGACAGTGTATTTTCTAGATGGCAGACATCACTGCTACTTTGTGTCAGTGGTGAAGGGAATGAATGTTCAACATGGTGAAAGGGATAGGGATCAAGTATTCTGCTTTGTTCTGGATGGTGCCAAGTCTTGAGTATTATTGGAGCTGCGATCTCGCAATGGAGAGTATTCCATCACAATCCTGAAACTGCACCTTGTACACGTCAATAGTGATGGTCAGGACATTGATAGTGGGAGATTCAGTGATGGTCATATCATTGAATGTTAAAGAACAATGGTCAGATTTTATCTTGCTGGGAAAGGTCATTGCCTAGCTACTGTGATGTGAATACTACTTGCCACTTGTCAGCCAAGCTATTAGTTACACTGATGGAGAAAAGGAAAATCTGAGTGTTATATTCCAATTTAGCTCTGGTTTACAGTCTGATTATTATATTCAAGATATCCAACAGCTGCTTCAAGTGGATGGCAAAGTAGTTACTGCATTTCTAGAGACTGCTAAATTTGGGAGATTTGGGAGAATGCTGCTTATTCCCTGGTAATGTGTGTTTTGCAACCATTTGAACATTCATGATAAGGACCAATATCATAACTATCTATTACCTATTCTATTTATCATGATTCCTTTCTTTCCAAAAGGCTACTGAAAAGATAATAGATAATTAAATATGTTACTGTTGGGGGTGACTTTCTCACATCTTGTGAAGCATTTATCTCTTATCACAGAGATTCAGTGGAAAATAATAGGTTTATTAAGTAGTGCATCAGCTGTTTTATATTTTGGTCGCAAATGCATGGCGTTTAGATGAAAGGATAACTCATATAATTTCCATTAGTAGCCAGAGATGATACACTCATTATATTGTGATTGTTCTAATTATAGTTAACAGACTGTCGAATAAAAAATAGATGTAGTAAATGTTACACCACTAAATAGCATTATAACATTTCAATAAACAGGTTTTTACATAATAACATTATTCTACGTTAATGCATGATAAATCCTGCTTACCAACTGGTAGAGATTTTCCCAGTAGTCCTGGGTCATAAGCCGAAACAATGACAGGAATGCCCAACTAAATGTGTCAAAGCTAGTATAACCATAATTAGGGTTTCTTCCAGCTTTCAGACATACGTAACCTGCAGGGCATTGACTAAGAAAATAAAAAGTGATGAAAGAATACAAAACACGGTTAAAATGTTTCAAAGCTACTTTTAAAATCTTTCATGATTTATAGAGCCAAAACAGAAATGGTTTGTGCGATTGGGTTGCCTGACATTTGAAGTGCTGCTCCTGCACTTTTAGTCACAAAAACTAGTTCATCGTAATATGCTTTAATCACTCTTAGATCCTTCAAGATCAACATAGCAGGTATCAGAATTTCGTATCACTATTACTTCTACAACATGGCTATCTATAAATACAGAAGCAACAGAACTCATGTGTAATAATTCAACCAATCTCATTTGCCCTACCGAAATACAATTAGTGGATTCAGATGAGGTTTGCAAGTTCTTATTTAGGAGATTGTCTGATTCTACTAAAATCAGTCTTATTACAAATCTCAATCAAATTATTCACTAATTACAAACATTTACAGATTATAACAATTAGTTTCTGCATTGTATTCTGAAACAATCATATAATCCCCACAGCGTGGAAACAGGCCCTTCGGCCCAACAAGTCCACACAGACCCTCAGAGCATCACACCCAAACCCATCCCCCTATAACCCACCTAATCTACACATCCCCGAACACTATGGTCAATTTAGCATGGCCAATCCACCTAGCCTGCACATTTTTGGACTGTGGGAGGAAACCAGAGCACCCGGAGGAAACCCACGCAGACACGAGGAGAATGTGTAAACTCCACACAGAGGGTGGAATCAAACTTGGGTCACTGGTGCTGTGAGGCAGCAGTACTAATCACTGTGCCACCGTGCCGCCCCGAAATTCACGTTCCCCGACCGGGAATCGAACCTGGACCACGGCTGTGAGAGCGCCGAATCCTAACCACTAGACTACCAGGGAAGATAACCACTAGACTACCAGGGAAGAGTTCAGCAAAAAACCCAACAATTAAAAACCAAACTCACCCAGCATCTGAGCCATTACCACATAAAAGTGCATCTTTGGCTTCTTCCAAAAAATAGTGATTTCCTGTTGATTAAGTTATAAATGAGTTAATTTCTAGTTTTATTTAACAGTATCAACTACATAAATAGAAAAACATAATTTCAATTCTAATTTAATTATTTAAAATATCATCCACTATATTTGTATTCCACTACACTTACGTAATAGTGAATTAAAATTGAACTTCCTTAGGCACCTTAAATTGTTTATTAGTTTAATTTAGAAGCTATTAAAAATGTGATGTTAAACAAAGCAAGAGAAAGCAACATGAGACATCTATTATTGCCATGATAAACATGGTCCTTGACTGGGTGAATACCAACATTATTAAGCTTCAATTTCATTCAGTTCAAAGCAGGGATATGATGAAAATGAGATCATATGTACTGTAAATTGTGATAATGAAAGACTGTGTTTTAAAGGAAATGGCACAGTACACTGTGTGATTACATACAGATCGTGCGATAACTCAGTACCTTTATCAAATAATTAGCTGTATGATATAGACCAAAACATTTCAGTTTTAATCTTCAGCTTGTAATGAGTTAACCATTCTCAGTAGGGTGCCAACTGGCCAGAGTTCCCACTATCCAATAAACTTTCCTGGAATTACACATTGATATTGGATGCTGACAAAATTGAGCTCAGCAATAATCTCTCAACCGACTCAGAGCTCAAATGAACCATGATCAGTTAGATAAGTGATTAGAAAGTGGATGATCTCTGTGGAATTGAAACCCTTTAAGATGCTGCTGCCTTTAGAAAGAGGAGAAAGTGAAGAAAATTGATAATAAAAATAACCACACAAATCTTTAGGTTCATATAGCAGCAAGAAGTGGATGAGAGATACATTTTTCTAATGTAAAATAGTGAATGTTCTGTAAATTTGATGTATAAAAAAAACTGAAAATGCTGTCAATACTTAGCAAGCTGAGCAGCATCTGTGAAGAGAGTAATAGAGTTAACATTTCAGGTTTGTGACCTTTCTGCAGTACTCTGTTTCACTCTTCAGATGTTAGCCATATGTTTGTCTTTATTTACAATCTGTGAATAGTAAAATGTACTTCAATAAGTCAGAGCTTGTATTAGTCATGTTATGCTGTTGGGGAGCAACAGAATAAATTCAGATTCCTTATAAAACAGAATTAGACACAATCTAATTTTGTAGATCTCAGTGAATGAATCATTTAACAGACCTCTAGCGTCACATCTGGAAATAATGGGTTTAATTTGTCATAAGCTATCTCCTGTCTCCTATCTCAGATGTCTGTAAAGGTCTTAAATGAAAATTGTCCATAATATACTTCATATAATTGGTTCTAAGAAAATGACATTCATGTCATAGAACTTCAATTGTGTGTTTATGATATAATTTCTGAAAGCAGTTTAATATATTTCCTGAAAACTGACAACTGTAAAAATAAGGGACCGTTTCACAAATACTTTTCCTGACATATTTCTTCTCCTCCTCATCTCCCAATTAGAAATTGACTCTTTACATTGATTATGGGTCCAATAGCTCACAGATAGCTTTCCCGTGAGATAATTATTCATGGGAGTGGATTTCCACACTAATTGATGGTGTGAGGTTGTTGACTTGCTCGCTGAGCTGGCTTGTTTTCGTTCAGACGTTTTGTCACATGCTAGATAACATTGTCAGTGAGGCCTCCGATGAAGCGATGTTGTTCTACTCCACATGGAATTTATACTGTCCTGTCCGTTATGGTGAGTAGTGTCATTTCCGCTTTTGTTCTGTATGGGTTTGCATATGGGGTCCAACACTCACCATAACGGACCGGACAGTATAAATTCCAAGCGGAGTGGAGCAACATCGCTTCATCGGAGGCCTCACTCATGATGTCACCTAGCACGGTGACAAAACGTCTGAACGAAAACAAGCCAGCTCGGCGAGCAAGTCAACAACCTCACCCACAACTGGAGCTACAAATCTTTGCTAAAACCTTAATTGATGGTGTACTTGTGAATGCCCTGGAAGTGCATAGATCACCTATGGCTATGCTGGTCTGAAAATACATTGTTGTGTCTAATCTCAGAAGCTAAGTGTTCTCAGACCTGGCTAGTACTTGTACGGGAAACTGCCTGGGAACACCAGGTGCAGTCGGCTTTTCAGGGTCTAGTGGTCTAGTGGTATAGTTGGTAGTGTCCCTACCTGTGAACCAGCAGGCCTGGGCTCAAGTCTCATTTGCCCCAAACGTGCATCTCATCAGGTTTTAAAAAAAAGACACTAGATAACCGATTCCCACCAACCTTCTCAAGACACCCAATAATGAGTCTTAGGTCCAATTAACAACTGCCCTGTAGAAAGGTGGCAAAGTAACTCAAGGAAAGGTGGGCAGTGCACCCAATCAACCAGGAAAGGTTGGCCATCTGGGGACAGATGGGGCAGACAATGTGCTGGACATTTGTCACATTTACCTGGCATGGGACATTGGCACCTGTACCAGAGCTCAATATTTGGAGGATCAAGCCTTTTCACAGGAACACTTTTCAATCCATTGAACTACTGAAGAAGGTAAGGGTGTGATTTTAACTTTTGATAGCTATTTTGCTTGCAGTGGATTATTCAGGGGCAGGGAACAGGGAAGAATGGAAATTGCAGCAATACTGGTCCATCACACATATGACTACCAAGCATCTCAGAAAAGACTCAAATTCAATCCTTGAACTTTCTTCGTCTCTCCACAGATGGAGAAAAGAATGGCACCACCCCCTGTTTTGGAGCCCAGAAGCAGGATGCACCCACAGTTTGGCAGTGACCCCTGCAAATTCAACTCCAGGCCACAAGCAATATGCAGAAGATCCTCTTGCCAGCAGGGGTTGAGTGAGAAGGGGACAGATGGGAGAGACTTCCCAGCCAAACCAAAGCAGCCTGGATGCAGACTGCAGCAGGGGTAAGCAGCGAAGAAGTAATCCAAAGAACCTGACTGCAGTGCTGCAAATGGCTCAATTTCATTTTGAAATTTGCGAGCAGTGAGATGGACTTGTATGCAAATGTATGCGGTCGTGAAGTGGCTCAAAATGCAGAATTACCTAATGAATTGCCCAATTACAGAAGGCAACATGGCACAGACACAATACTCTGTACGGCAACTGGGGATTTGAGAGGGTGTGAACTGCAATACTTATTAATTGACAAGGAGCATTGAGAAATGTTGAGCGCTATCAAAGTAAATGTTAACCTCACATTTGAAGGTACAACTGTAGTACAGCATCATCATAACAACTTCCTTCTTTATTTGCAGGAGAACAGGGAACACAATGCCCTAGAATGTGCTCTGACCTGAAGAGGACATGTAACCCTGGCCATTCTCAACTCATTGAGGTGCTGGAGGTGACTGCCAATAATTGTAGCAGAATCACTGGTCATACTGAAGTTGGAAGAAGATCACAGGATGGTGAGATTGCAAGACTGTTTATTTGTAATTCTTGCAAACAATGCTGAATGGGCTGGGGTAACGGTTGGGGAAACTGGGGAAGCTGTCAGTGAAGTTGTTTTAGCAGGCCAGGCAGCATCAGAGGAGCAAGGAAGTTGATGTTTCGGGTCTCTTCTTCAGAAATGATCCATTTCTCCAGAAATGACCAATGCTCCTCCAGCTCCACACTGTTATCTCTGAATCAAGCATCGGCAGTTCTTACTATCTCTGAATGAAGTTGTTTGATGTGTTTTGACTTTGAAGATTTGTAGAATTCAGAGAAGAAGGTGTGTCTGTAAGTTGAAAGACTTAAGATTCAAATTCTGGCCACAAATGATGATGATGCCCCTCATGTCCTTTTTATTTACAAAGTACAGATGAAACATGGCTGGCTACAGCCATTTGGAGCCTGGCTACAGCCATTTGGAGCCTCTGGGGAGGAAGGGAAAGCCTCATTGACCGTCACATCCATCCTCTGCATCTTGTACAGATCCCTGCCCTGCAATCGGTACACAGGACTCATCTTCAAGGGATCAACAGCTTGATGAAAGCATTTGTCACAAGTCCGGCTATCAGAGACTGAATTAGTGCAGGCATCTAGCACTCAGAATGTTGGAGTCAACTGAACGCTGAGCTCCAGTCTGATGATGAGCCTCTGGAGTCCACTCACCAGGTGACAGATTCTGGATGTGTGGCAATGAGGTAGAGGGAGATGTAGTCCAGATTCAGGGAGGGGTTGTGTGCACTGTCCTAACTGTTCAGAATGAATGGCTTTCTTCATTGAGACATTGTCTACTGTCATGGAGAGCCAGCAGTTCACCGGTGAAATACTGGATGAGTGTGCTGACTTGCATTAAACTGCCTTGTCTCTGAGCTTTGTACCCAGCTGCCAGGGCAAGAAAGAGACAAGAGCCACAGTCAATTCCTGGTTCCTCTCAGGAAAGACAACTAGACCTTTGGTAGATGAATAGATGCTAGCATCATCAAGAGTACAACTCTCAGGATGTTTCTCTCCTCTCCTCTGCCTTTCTGCCATTGGTCCAATGCCTCAGAACTGACTGATTAACCTCCTGCCACACTTGCCAGAGCCTCCAACCAAGCTCGCACCCTCATGGCCTCAGGTGACCACAGAAAACCCACTAAAGTCATCCTAGGCAAGGGGCATAAACATCATAGATCTTAGATCATAGAATCCCCAGAGTGTGGAAACAGGCCCTTCGGCCCAACATGTCCACACCAATCCTCACAGCATCTCACCCAGACCCATCCCCCTATAACCCACCTAATCTACACATCCCTGAACGCTATGGGCAACTTAGCACGGCCAATCCACCTAACCTGCACATCTTTGGACTGCGAGAGGAAACCGGAGCACCTGGAGGAAACCCACACAGACACAGGGAGAACGTGCAAACGCCACACAGACAGTCGCCTGAGGGTGGAATTGAACCTGGGTCCCTGGCGCTGTGAGGCAGCAGTGCTAACCACTGAGCCACCGTGCTGCCTTGAAGGTTGCAGGTGATGAGGGGAGAGTAGCACCACATCATACCAGCCATTAGAGAATTAAAAAGACACCTTAGTCCCCATCATCAAAAATGATATAGACTATCACATCAGTGCAAAAGTCAAGACAAAAGCATTTGCAACATCTTCAGCCAGAAATGCCCTGTGAATGATCTATCTTGGCTTCATCCTCTGGTCTATAGAATCACAGATGCTGCTGTTCAGCCAATTCAATTCACACCAAGTTATAGCAAGAAATGGCTGAAGATGATGGATGCTGCGAAGGCAGTGGCTCCTGACAACACCTCAAAGAAACACTGAAGATAGAAGCAGGAGTAGGCCATTTCACCCCTCGAGCCTGCTCTACCATTCAACACAATTATGGCTGACCATCGAGTTCAATACCCTAATCTTGCCCTCTCCCCACATCCCTTGATGCCTTTAATCACAAGAGTTATATCTACCTCCTTCGTGAAAACACAATATTTTGGCCTCAACTATTGTCTGTAGTTGTGAATTCCACAGGGTCATCACTTTCTGGGTGCAGAAATTTATTTTCATCTCAGTCCTACAAGGTTTACCCCTTATCCTTAAACTATGACCTCCTGTACTGGGCTTCCTCACCATCAAGAACATTCTTCCTGCATCAAACCTGTCTAATCCTGTTAGAATTTTATAGGTTTCTATGAGATTCCCCCTTCATTGTTCTAAAATCTACTGAATACAATCCTAGCCAACTCAATCATTCCTCATACATTGTTTACTGGGATGGTGAGACCAATTTGGTAAGCCTTTGCTGCACTCCAACTATAGCAAGGAGGCTAAAACAGCACACAATGTTCGACGAGTGGCCTCACCAATGCCCTGTGTAACAGGAGCAAGACCTTCTTGTTTCTATCCTCAAATCCTCTCACCATGAAGGCCAATATGCAGTTTCCTTTTTGCCTGCTGCACCTGTGAGCTTACTTCCAGCAGCTGGTGCATGAGGACACCCAGGTCTCGTTGAATTTCCTTTCTCAATTTACGCCTTTCAAATAATAATCCGCCTTCCTATTTTTGCTACCGAGTGGATAACATCTCATTTATCCACATAATACTGCATCTGCTGTGCATTTGCCCACTCACTCAGCCTGTCCAAATCACAATGCAACATTTTTGCATCCTCCTTATAAATGCACACTTCCATCCAACTTTGTGTCATTTGCAAATTTTGAGAGATATGTTTAGTTCCCTCACCTAAATCATTAAAATGTAATGGGAATAATTGAGGTCCTAGTAGTGATCACAACAGTACCCCACTAATCACTGCCTGCCAGTCAGAAACAGACCTATTTATTCCCATAAAAACCAAAAGAACTGCGGATGCTGTAAATCAGGAACAAAAACAAAGTTGCTGAGGAAGGGCCATCGGACACAAAACATTAACTGTGATTTTTTTCTTCACAGATGTTGCCAGAACTGCTGAGCTTTTCTATCAATTATGTTCTGGTTCCAATAATTCTAATTCTTTGTTTCCTATCACAATACATTACCAATCCCATGTGTTTTAATTTTTCACATTCATCTGTTAAGTAGGACTTTGTTAAAAGCCTTCTGAAAGTCTAAAAAAACCACATGCTCCCCCAATTACCTCTACTAGATACATCCTCAAAGAATTCCAGTAGATTTCCCTTTCATAATCTATGCTGACTACACCTGATTCTATCACTGTTTCCCAAGTGCTCTGCTATAAAAAACCTTGATAATGGACTCTAGCATTTTCCTCAATACCAACGTCAGACTCACCAGTGGTCTGTAATTCCCTGTTTGCTCTCTAACTCCCTTCTTAAAGAGTGGGGTTACATTAGCTATCTTCTAATCTGTAGGAACTGCATCCAGTATTTCTCGGGCCATTTCCTCAAGTATTCTGGGATAGGGATTATGAGGCCCTGGGGATTTATCATTTTTCAATCCCATAAATTTCTTCATTACCATTCCTCAACTAATACAGATTTGCTTCAGTTCCTCTCTCTCATTAAACTCTTATTCCAGCAGTACTGCTCAATATTTGCACTCCAGAAACAGCTGTGTGGTCCAAGTTTTGAGTACAACAACCAAAGTTATCTATGCAGAGGGCACCACTGGATATGTTTAAACTTCTAAAGCACGTTCTGAGCTGACCAATGGCCTCTTTACTGATGGTTCTGGTAGATGCAAGGCTATTGTTAAATCTTCTCCTAAGCTCAGTGGATTCCTTACAGATATCATTCGTCATATCCTTAGATGGTAGCCCTTATTGCTCAGAAGCCAGGCATCCAAACACTCTGGGCCAGGGATAATCCATGGCTCTCGAATGCCCAAGTGTGCAAGCATTGTAATTGTTGCCAGGATAGCACGCACATACTTGCAGTATCTGTTGCCTGTGGTCACATGCAAGCTAAATGTTAATGGAAACACATCATTTGCTGTTAACCAATGCTTCTGGCTGCCCATAAGGCGCTTTAATGGTTGCATGTGTTCAATCTGTATGCCTTGAGCCTTTAAAAATCCAGCAATGCTGTCAAAACCTTTAGCTCAGTCTGTCTGATTGTCACTGCCCTTGCTAAATGAGATAAGCTCATGGGTGTACCTGAACATTGCACCTACAAAGATTTTCACGTTATGTACAGAAGAGCCATTAGCTGCAATATCCTATCCTGGTCTCCAGGTTACACCTGGAAGGACAGGAAACATTCAGAACCACTATGAACTGCTAAGCTTCAGGCTTCAGCTAGATTTAGATGTCTTTCAGCAGAATTTGATGATTTCTCTATAGCCAGCATCCCACAGGTTGATGCAACTGTCTCCATGGAGAGATGCAATATTCTCTGCCACTAACACTGGGGGTAAGTCAGCCTCTGCCAGTATACTCTTTTGGCAGGGTACTGCCTTAGCCTTCTTCTGCCTGCCTGTTGCTGCTTTTGTTTCCTATTCGCAGGCTCTTGCTCAGTAGCAGACTGCACAATTTCTTGGAGACTTGGCCATGTGCAGATTCCCTCCTTCTTTTCTTCTACACTGGAGGGGTACCTTCCAGTGCAATGGTCGATTCATTTAGGAGACCGCAATGTACAGCGCAAATGTTATTCTGCACAATTTTGTTTGCAACACTTCCTGTTTGCCTCTCTTCCCAAGGAAATGTTCTAATGCAGTTTGAGTGCAATGAAAAAGAAAATTAGCAGCACCAAAGTCCTGTTCTGCTAAAGTAACCATAGTCTCCCTTGCAACATTTACATCCATGTTTATAACCCTTCCAGATTAAAAGAAACTAACTGCCACTGACCAGGTTTCCCATGCAACTGCCACTTTGTGGTGTGGGCAAAGTAATAATCAGGTGTATTGGTTTGATAAAATGCTTGATAACTTGTTCATCATATTTTTTAAAAATAGCAGGCAGACCTCGGATTTTGGTGCCCGTGATGAACTTGTCACTTGAAGTCTTTTAGCCAGATTTTATCAGTTTGGGAAAGCAGTAGGTCTGATTTCTGGAGTAAAGGCCAGGCTACATATCCAACCACAAGGTGGCATCACACTTGACAGCACATTTAGGTATGACTTGAACTTTGCCCAAATTACCAATTCAGGAAAGTACATCTCCTATTTTTCCTTACCTAACCCAACCAAACAGAGACAAATTACAACATTCAACCATTAAAGCTCACAATGGATAAAGATACTGAGATAGTGAATTGAAACTCCCTCTAGAAGTAATATTTTTTCAGCTCTTTCAACATAGTCAAGATGAAGAAAGTAACACAATTCTTTTCATCTGTACTTACCAATCAATTTTACTCTCACACTATACATTAGAAATCTTTTTTAAAAAAATCTTTATTCATCTTTGACTTTAAAATTAGGAACAAATATAGAACTGACACGTGACTGAATTATGTCTAGAAAAAGTCACTAATATGAACATTAAGTCCTTACGTTCATCTTCGATGTATTCATCGAAGTTGAATATGAATTCCGTTTCATTTGTCATCATACCATTCTGGCTTAAAGATCTGTTAGTTGGGATATAATAGCTGGCAGGTGGTGGCCATCGCACGCATTTATGTTTTAGGTTTCCCATGAACAGTTGCAGCCCTATTAGTGCAAACACGCTCAAACAAAAAACAGTCAGAATCATTACATCGGACAGCTTCTTCACTGACTGGATCAGGGCACCCACGATGGTTTTGAGACCTGAAAGAAACATGAAAAATTTCTGTGATTTCTTTTTGATAGCAAAACACATTCATTAAATTATCAAGAAATCGTCAGTTCTTCTCATACTTTATCAGTCAATCTCATGCAAAAGATCAATTACCAGAGTAAACATGTATTTAATGACACTTTGCTGAAACTAGGATGATAGCAAATGAATGATCTGTTATATTAGACTAACAAATGGAAAGTTCTAGCATTACTGTAGTTGAATGGAACTTCATGTACATTGTGAATGGATAAGAATGTAACTGTACACATTCTTAGCGAGATGCTTGTTTCTCTGAAACAATTCAATTTCATTTTGTGTTTTGCATTTTGTGAATTCATTCATCTCACCAACTCTGAAATTATAACTATAGTGAACAGTGCAGCCAAGTGAAAGGCGCTTTGTAATGATTTCTCCAAACCTAAAATTTGTGAATCAACTTTTAATAACACACCTTAAGTTTTGAGTGCTAAACTTTGAAACTGCTTTTAATTATTGGATTTGGTTTGATAAATTATATATTACCAAAAATCATTGAGATTTAATGCTTTCATTCAAACAGGCCAAACATGAGCAATAGTCTGAGACTTAAATCATTACAGCACTGAAAGTCGTCGATCAAGGACAGTCAGAATGTCTAAGCACTAAAGATCTCTAGGTCAAACATACACAACAGTCACAGACAAAAATTCAGAATTTCAATGGCCTGTGGGATTGGGTGCAGGTAAAATTTGAAAACCCGCATTCCCAGAGGATGTCGTGGATCAAATAACTTCCAGGATGTGCTCCAAATTTCAAAGGGAAGGTACTCGTTTGCTGGGTGGGGAACTGGGAACCCACTTGTCTCCAATTAAGGTCCTTTCAAATTTCTCGAGAAATTAGGGCTGTTGTAGTATAGTGGTAGTATCCTTACCTCTAGATCAGGATGCCTGCATTCAAATCTCACCTGCTCCAAAGGAGTGTCATAACATCTCTGAACAGGTTGATTAGAAAATGCCTTCTGAGAGAAACTTGTTAATGAGCCAAGGAGGGTGAGAATAGAATTGTCAAATTTGATCTAAAACAGTTTTCAGTTGTCAGGTTTAATGTGAGAAGAGATTTAAATTTTTGTAAGTTTTTGGGACTTAAGCAGCTTGTGCTGAATTTTGCTCTTTACCTCATTTTTGGCCATACATTCACTTTCTACGTGACGAGGCTTCTGCCCTTCGAAGGTACAACCTACTCTCTTCAGTAATTCTGTGGCAGAATCCATCACAACCTCCACATGTCTTTAGTGCTGACACTCTGCTATCCACTCACACCCCCTAGTTACATCTGGCATCAATAATTGGGCACTAAACTTGCCCCTGGCTCAATTAAGATATTTACATTTCAAAACGCAGGTAAATAAACAACATCAATGTGGTATATGATCAGGACCCAGAAGTTATCCAGACTTTAAATTCACAACCGCACATTGAACATCCAGCCCTAAGTATATACATTACTGCAGGCAAAACATATGATAAAGGTTTTTTCTAACTTTGAACATTAACCAATCTAAATTGAATCTGTCTCATGCTATTGTCATAACCTATTAATGGGCACACACAATGAACATCTCCAAATTCCCACTCATCAAGGAGGTGTTATAAAAGTTTAAATGGTTTGGAGTACAAAGGGATGCCTTAAATTGCTGAAGCTTTCATGCATTCATCATGCTGATGTGTAGTATTTTGTTTCTTCATCTCCTCACTTGCATATGATTCAGTAATCTTTTCAGTCTCGATTTTCAATTTGCAATATTCACTCATTAAATCTGATTGTAGAAAGAGCATTCAAAGAAGGACATTTTCAGAATGCATTGAATAATTTGCAGAATAGGGAAGGGAAAACTAGACATCATACGTTGAAAACCACTCATGCTGGATATTACAATTTCTCGTGCAAGAAATTGCTAAACATCAAGGCTGAATACACAAGCAAAAAAAATCAAAAGCAAGGAATCCTATAAACTACTTCTTTTATTTCTTCTGATTCCTGCTTTGTGTTTTTTTTTAATTGCAAAGAAGAAAGATCAGCCATAGTGCTTAACCTAGCTCTCACCTGGAATGACTGAAATTGTTTTCAATGCTCGGAGAACTCTGAATGTTCTCAACGCTGAGACATTGCCCAGGTCCACAAACTCTGTCACATATCTGTAATAGGGGAGGGCACACACAAACACAATGACAGGACACATAGATACAGTTGGAGATACATGGGGCCTGCTAGTGCCTTACACCAATTACTCCTTACCTGGTATTACAGAAATAGTTTTCAAAGCTCTCAATACTCTGAAAGTTCGAAGAGCTGAAACATTGCCTAGGTTTACAAATTCTGTTACATACCTGTAGAATTAAATCACAGTTATTTCAGCTTTCAACAAATTTTAATATAACTACAATGTTTGGTCTTTCACTTTGGTTATAGTAATTGTATTTTTATTTTCCTCCTTTGCTTGGTTGTCCTGAAGGTAATATAAGTTACAGTGTAATTCCATGAGTGCTCACCACCCTCAATTAATCAAATTCAAATGCTATTCTTCACATTAAACCTAGACATTGTAAATTGCCAGACTATTCAAAACAAGGATACATCACTGTGTTCATACTGATATCCTCCAACACGCAATTATCAAATAAACGTTTTTTTTAATCTCCTTCCCTAGATCAAGGACAACTGACAAGCCCCACTTCCTAGGGATCAAAGTTTGGGTCTTCCTGGTCAAGATGGCTCCCTTTTGAACATGATGTACATTCACTCACTAATTGTTCAACAGAGTGATGACAGAATTTTAAACAAATGAGCAATATACTTCTTGAACAATTGGTCTGAAATTTTCTTGACTAAGAAGAAACCATGATAGAAGTGCTATTGCTGATTATCATAAACAAATCAACACATTATACATTGATAGTAGGAACTGCAGATGCTGGAGAATCTGAGATAACAACGTGTAGAGCTGGATGAACACAGCAGGCCAAGCAGCATCAGAGGAGCAGGAAGACTGACGTTTCGGGCCTAGGCCCTTCTTCAGAAATGGTCTAGACCCGAAACGTCAGCTTTTCTGCTCCTCTGATGCTGCTTGGCCTGCTGTGTTCATCCAGCTCTACACCTTGTTATAACACATTATACATTGCTACTTTTTGAAATATTGTTCTACAGATATGCTTGCAATGGTGGCCCCAATTGAAATTAGCAATCTTGACGCTTTTAGTAAATACTTACGCCATAAGGATGACACTGAAATCCAACCAGTTCCACGGATCTCGGAGAAAAGTGAAATTATCTATACAGAAGCCCCTTGCAAGAATTTTTATAAGCGATTCAAATGTGTAAATACCAGTGAAGGTGTACCTAATGGAATTATAACAATAAAAAAGCTGTTCAGTCATTTAATTGGCAAATATTATGAAAAAGGGAAGCTTCCATAAATCTCAAGGTATAAAAGCTGTGATACTAATTATTCATTTCCAATGTAAGAATATCCTTCAGTTCTATTACATTAAATGTAATGATATTCTGGAGCAAAATTCTTTTTTGTCTTACTCATTTCCAGGTTAATTGCAGAGTCTTAAGTCTTGATTAAATTTAAGAGAATGTGAAGGGCTTCCGATACATTCTAACAAATTACTTTGCTTATAAAGTAAATCTGTTTACTAAGTATATTCACCGAATATTAGTACAGGAAAGAATTCTAGAACATATTCAAGACAGTTTACTAAAATAAAATTCACAATAACAATGAACCAGATGATGCTGGATTTATTGATGAATAACAAACAGAATTAATTAATGATCTGATGATTAGGAAAGATCTTGCAAATAGGTTAATTTGATATTTGACTTGAGAGACAGAGAAACAAAGAGAGAGAGAGAATGTAGAATTGAAACCAAGGCTTTAAGTTTAAAGTGAAGCAAACATCAAAGGAATGAGAGATAAATTGATGTCTGTAAACTTAGTAGAGAATTTTAAGGTGTCAAGAACAGGGTGGATAGATAAAAGTAGGTCCAGGGATGTTATTAATATGAACATTCTGTAGGCATCTGTTAAGGTTCCACAAAAGAGATGTTTAAACAAGTGAATGGAATTTAAGGCAACTTATTTAAAATCTAATGTCCTTATAGATCAAAAAATTTATTTTACATTGGTTATATATTTGACACAATAGATACCGTGTTATTTTGGTTTGTTAACACATTTGAAAAATATTAATACTGTAAATTCAGTAGTATACAGAGAACTATACACTTACTCTACATTCTTCGTCCAGTCTGGAGGATTATACAGGGTCATAAACACACAATTCGTCATAATAGTGCACATGATAAGCATGCTGAACAATGTAAGATTTAGTCAAGGAAAGCAAACATAATAAAACAATGCACATTTTCTAATAAAGTTGGGAAGAATAACATATACAAACATTTAACTATAATGTTTGGTCTTTCACTTTGGTCATAGTAATTGTATTTTTATTTTCCTCCTTTGCTTGGTTGTCCTGAAGGTAATAAAAGTTATGGTGCAATTCCATGAGTGCTGATCGCCTTTGATTAATCAAATTCAAATGCTATTCTTTACGTTTAAGCTAGACATTGTAAATTGCCAGACTATTCAAAACAAGGATACATCCGTGTTGACAACAATATCATCCAACGTGCAATTATCAAATAAATGTTTTTTTTCCCTTTCCCCAGCCCAAGGATGAAGGACAACTGACAACCCCCGCTAATGGAAAATCAAAGTTGGGGCAGTAATGGACAAAGGAGCACCTCGAGCCTGTTTCACCATTTAATAAGATCATCACTGATTTGATTGCTTTACGTTCCTGCCTAACATCAATAACCTTTTGCCCCAAGATTACAGTCTAGTTATCTCTGCCTTAAAAAAAGTTTCAAGCACTCTGCTTCCACTGCCTTTTGAGGAACAGGGTTTGAAACACTCACTATGCTCTGTGAGAAAAGAATTCTTTTCATTTCTATTTTAAATGGGCAACACTGTATTTTTGTAAACAGTGATCCCTACAGCTAGATTCTCCCACAAAAGGAAGTATCCTTTCCACAGAATATTCTTTCCTGTCAATTCCCCTCAGGATTTTGTGTGTGTTAATTAAGTTGGCAGTTTCTCTTCTAAATTCCAGCAGGTACGAGCCAAACCTGTTCAACATTTCCTTATAAGGCAACCTGAACCATTCCAGGTATTATGCTAGTAAACCTTCTCTGAACCACTTCCAATGCATTTACATCATTCCTTAAATAAAGATACTGTATACACTACTCCAGTTGTGGTTTCACCAATGCTCTGTAAAATGTAAGCATAACCTACAGACTTTAGTATTCAATTCCTCTTGCGATAAATAAGTACATTCTATTACCTTTCTGAAATACTTGCTGAAAGTACAGTTTAACCTTTTGCAATTCATAAAAGAGTACACCCGGTACCTCTGCAAATTAGAGCTCTTCAATCTCTCACCAGTATGTTTCCTTTTTCATTCTTCCAGCTTGACAAAATGAACAATTTCACTTTTTCCCCACATCACACTTCATTTGCTCGATCTTTGTCCAATCACATGACAGTTGTGGTTCCTTTTTAGCCTCTTCTGCCCTCTTCACAACTTACTTTCTTAACTATCGTGTTATAAGCACCCATACCTCCTGTCACTTCATCCATACAATTCGTATAAATGGCAACATTTGAAGCTCCACCTCTGATATCTGTGGCACAATGTTGATTACATCATGCCAATTAGAAATTATCTATTTATGCCTTCTCCTGATTTCCTAACAACTTGACTGTTTCCTGACAGCCAATCTTCTATGCCAATATGTTACCCAGACACTATGAGTGTTTTAAATTCCGCAATAAATTTCGTTTGGCATCTAGTCAAATGCCTTCTGGAAATCAAAAGCACAGTATATCCACTGTTTGCTGTGTATCCACAGCACATGTTACCTCCTTGAAGAACTCCAATAAGTTAGGCACAAATGACTTACCTTTCATAATTCTGACTCAGTCTAATTACCCTAAATATCTCTAAATGCCCCACTATAACATTTTACATCAGACAAATTAGCAGAAGTAGGCCATTAAGCCCATTGGGTCTGCTCTGACATTCAGTAAGATTATGGCTGATCTGTTGTGTTTTCTGAATTTTCCAGTCCAATCTACTCCCAATAACCTTTGCTTCCCTTGCTAAACAACAAGCTTTCTGTTTTCAGCTAAAAAGTATTCAATGACCTTACCTGTATCATCTTCTGAAACAAAGTCATACAACTTTCAGAGAAAAAAAATCTCATTTAAGTCCAAAAAAGTGATCCATAATTTTAAACTGTTTCCCCTAGATCTAGTTTCACCCACTATAGGAAAAATCATTTCCACATTCACCTTGTCAAGACCATGCAGAATTTTGTTTACTTCAGACTTACTGAAATTGAAAATCAATGACAGAATTGGATACAGAACGGATTTCCAAAAGGAAATCATGTTTGACAAATCTACTGGAATTTTTTGAGGGTGTAACCAGTAGATTTAACTAGGGAGAAGCAGTGGTTGGACTTTCAGAAGGCATTCCATGTATTCCCACATAAGAGCTTGGCAGCTAAAATTAAATCAGATAGGATTAGGGATAGTGTACTGACATTGATAGAGAACTGGCTGGCGGACAGGAAACAAAGGGTAGGAACAAAAAGGTCATAGTCTAAGTATCAGGCAGTTACCTTGGGGTACCAAAGGGATTGATGCTTGACATCAGCTATTAAAAACCTGCATTCATGACTTAGATGAGGGAACTAAATGCAATATCTCCAAGATTGCAGAAGACACAAAGCTGGGTGGAAGGTGAACTGTCAGGAGGATGGAGAGGTTCTTCAGTGTGATTTGGACAAGTTGACTGACTGAGTGAACTATAAATGAAGTGTGGCTAAATGTGAGGTCAATCAATTTGGTAGCAAAATCAGGAAAGAAGATTATTATTTGAATGGCAAAAGATTGGGCAAGGGGAAGGTATCCCTATACACCAGTTGCTGAAAGCAAGCGTGTAGGTGCAGGAGGCATTGGAGAAGGCAAATTACGTGTTGCCTTTCAAAGTGAAAGGATTTGAGCATTGGAGTAGGAGTGCCTTACTGCAATTGTACACGGCTTTAGTGAGACCATACCTGGAGTACTGTGTGCAGTTTTAGTCTCCTTATCTGGGGAAGAATGTTCTGGCTATGGAAGGAGCAGAATGAAGCTTTACTTGACTGATTCCTGGTATGCAGGACTGACATATGAGGAGAGGAGAGGCTGGATCAGGTAGGACTATGCTCACTAGAAGAATGACAAAGTCGGGGGCGGGGGGGGTGTGCGGTTTCATAGAAGCTTATGAAATTCTAACAGGACGAGACGGGATAAATGTAGGAAGGATATTCCCAATGACCTGGAAATCTGGAACCAGGGCCACAGTCTAATGATGCAGGGTAGGCCATTTAGGACTGAGTTGAAGAGAAATTTCTTCATCGAGAAAATGGTTAGACTGTGGAATTCTCTGCCATAGAAAGCAATTAAGGCCAAAATATTGAATGTTTTCAAGAAGGAATTAAACATCATTCTTAGGTCTAAAGACATCAAAGTGTTTGGGGTGAAAGCAGGAACATGGCATTGAGTTAGGTGACCAGCAATGACCATCGAGAATGGCAGAACAGGCTCGAAGGACCGAATGGCCTACTCCTGTTCTTATTTTCTATATTTCTAAGTCACTCCTCACTCTTCTAAACTTCTCTGAAAGAAGATCAGACTATCTAACCTTTCTGATAAGAAAGCCCACTCATTTTACATATCAATTGAATAAATCTCTCCTGAATCACCTCCAATGTATTCTACCCTTCCTTAAATAAGGAGAGCAAAACCACAAACAGTATTATCTTTAATAATAGCTTATAATTTCTTTCTTATTATGAATGTTAAGCTAACTGATACAGTATTCTGCTTTCCGTCTCCCCTCCTTTTTGAATAATGAAGATTTTGAAGAAGTTAAAGAAGTCGCCATGTTCCAATTTAATTGAACTTTCACCAAATCTATTGAATTTTGGAAAACTAAGACCATCGCCACATCGACTACCTCACTAACCACATCTTCTAAGGTCTAAGGATGAAATCCACCAGGATCCAGGGAATTTTCAGATTCCTGCTCCAACAATTTGCTCAGTATTACTTCCCTAGTAGTTGTAATTTAACGGAGTTCCTTTGACCCTTAAACTTCCTGATTTCAAGTTATTTTTGGGATATTATTCATATCATCTATAGTTATATTTTTACTTTAGCACTTTTTAAGGGTCATTTATCCAAATGGGTATTTTCTGATAAAAGACAGTGAGCCAAGAACCCGATGCTGAAGAACGAAAGAGCTCATTTTGCCTACCAAGCATTGACAAGAGGAGGAAAGCCCCCCGCTTCCCTAGCAAAACAATATCACTAGCGATGCAACCAGGGTAACTCATCAAACAGCAAAGGTGGAGTTATGAAGAAGCACGAGGAAAATCAAGACCAATGACGAACTGAGAAAGCTACGGTATTGCAACTACTTGCCAACAAGCACAACACCCAGGGGTTTCTTCAGTGCCACCAAGGCATGTAATATATGGACCCAACACACTTGGCCTCAAACCATTGCAGAATAAGGATGGAACCCTTTTGACAGACAGAGAAAACGTCAGCCTCTGATGAACAGGAACTCCTAAACCGTAATACAATCATCAATAAGGATGTGTTTGAGGAAATCTCCCAACTCCTTGTCAGAGATGATCTTGGACTCCCACCTAGTGTGGCAAAAGTTGAAGCTGCCATTCGGCACATTAAGAGTAGAAAAGCTGCACGAGTAGACAGGTTTCCAGTGGAGATTTTGCACTTTGGAGGAGCAGAGCCTACCTGTCATCTGCACCAACTGTTCCTGACAAAGAATTCCTGCTGTTCTCAAGGATGCTGCCATTGCCACCATCTTCAAGAAAGTAGACAAAGTGGACTGTGGGGACTACAAAGGAATCTCCCTACTCTCCATCACTGGGAAGATCATTTCTGAAATCCTCGCTAGGTGCCTTCTCCAAGTCTCTTACGAAATCCTTCCTGAAACCCATTGTGGCTTCCAGCCAAATCATAGAAATATGGACATGATTTTGAGCGCTCAGCAACTCAAAGAGAAATTCCAGAAACAATACAAACCACTCTACATGGCCTTCATTGACCTGGTCAAGCTCATTCAATTGGGAAGTGCTATGGAAGACCCTGTAAGAGCTTGGCTGTCCAGTCAAATTCACCAACATCCACCATCTCCTCCAGGACAAGACGTCAGCAACAGTCCTAAACAATGGTAATAATGACAGAATACTTTGAAGTCAGGAGTCTTCAAAGCTTGGCGTAATCGGTTAGCGCGTGGTACTTATATACCAGTGAATTGGTCTCAGCAACAACCTCAAGAAGACTCAAATCCTTTACTAACCCATTCCAGGTCAATTTCCAGTCCATCCCTGCATTAAGATTAATGGAGAAATCCTCCCAAACGTGGAATATTTCCCATACCTGGGAAGCTACCTCTCATCTAAGGCTGAAATCGGTGCGGAGATTCAACATTGCATCCAATCTATAAGTGTAACCTTAGTATGCCTGGGGAGAAAAGTCTTCAATGATGGTGATATCCGTGCTGACACCAAGATTCTGTGTATAAGCCAATCAGCCTTCCAACTCTCCTAGATGGTTCGGAAACTCAGACTGCATATAAACACCACCTCAAAACTCTTGAGAAGTACCAGCAACACTGTTTGAGACAGATTCTCCGCGTCTGCTATGAGGAATGGCACATTAATATCTGCATTCTTGAAGCAGCGATAAGCACCAGTATCAAGGCCATAATCATCTGAAACCAACTCCACTGGGCCAGCCACATACTTAAGATACCTGAGTTCTGACTGTCCAAACAAAGTTTCTTTGCCCAGCTCAAGGAAGGCACTTGAATGATAGGAGGCTAAAGGAAGCATTTCAAAGACTCCCTGAAGGTTTTCCTTAAGAAATGCTACACAGATGTCAACATATGGGATATCCTCATTCAGAAGTGACTGGTTTGGAGGAAACTCCTGTATGAAGGGACACAATTCTTCGGGAAAAGGAAGTGGAAAAAGTAATGCCAATGACCTCAAGGCCAAAGAGCAGTTTCGTCTCCTGGATACAGTTGCTGAATGTGTGGTCAGAGATTTTGCTCTAGATCAGGCTCATTAGCCACAAAAGGACCGAAAGATCCTATGGCCAGTGACATAGAATTTACTAGGTGGACAATCATATTTGTTAGCGGGTGATTGCCAATGATGACATGCTAAGACAGAGGAAAGATGGATGTGAGCGAGAATACCGACCATCAACAAAGCTTCAAAGGATCTAACACATCACTTCTCCTCGGTAAGGAGGTCAGTTCAGTCCAGACAGTTTCATTGGATAGCAAAAAAGTGGATTGATCCTGATGCATATAATATCATTATACTAACAGTTGCCAGATTTTGGATGTATTACCTGCTATGATTTTGAATGGGATGGTAATAGAGAATGGTGGAAAGGTTAGGTGTTGGTTGAAGTCTACAACTCTGTCCTTTGGCCTTGCACCATTGATTGTTTGTTGTCATTTAACCTTTACTGCCTCCCACCCTTTCACAGACCTTGTCTTTTGTTCTTTACCCATCAATCCTTCTTTCATTTGCTTAAAACATTTTACATCTCTAATTTATCCCAAGTCTGATGAAAGGTCTTCAACCTGAATAAAATCACTTCTTCCCCACAGATACTGCCAGGCCTGCTGAGTGTTTCTGCCCTTTTTTGTTTATATTTCAGATCTTCTGCTAAGCAGCATTTGATTTTCTACTACTACATCCCTGCCCAACATGCCTTTCCTTCCTTACCCACTACACTGTATTGAAATGGCAGCAGAGGCAGAGTTCAGACCCCAGACATAGATACAGTGAGTATCAAGAGAACTCTCTTGCGCTATAGATAAACAATTTGTAAATTGAGTTTTATAACATTGTGTAATACCATACACTCCACTCTGGAGGACTCTTTATGGTTATAAATACAAAATGTAACAATTCATATAAAAATAATATGACAATCCTCTGCAGCATGTCATGGGAAAAGTAGACCTGGGAAACCAATGATATGAGCCCCCTTATTTCAACAAATATATAAGGTATTTTGGTAGCTTCCTTGTGCTACAATCTAGACCCCAATTACTTTATGTTATACCTCACCACCTCTTTTATGACCTACATTGACAGCTGATGGATAGATCTTTGTGCTACTTCTGACCTTGTAACTGTCCACCTACTCTTCTGGAGCTACAGTGGCAGTCTCACTGTGGTCCCATTGAGACTTCGCAACTAGGTAATGGCAGGCTCCCACTTGACTGCAATAATTCCACTGTCCACAGTGGACAACTGCCGACAAAGTCTCAGAGTCAAAAACAAAGTTGCTGGAAAAGCTCAGCAGGTCTGGCAGCATCTGTGAAGGAGAAAACAGAGTTAACGTTTCGGGTCCGGTGACCTTTCCACAGAACTGAAGTCTCAGAATCATTGTTTTTGGGAGAAGACTTCTGTATATTGTTATCATGGTGCCCACTTCAAATGCCACTCGAGGAAACTGTACAGCTGCATGATGTAAACAATAAGAAAATTCAGATAAAATTGTCTTTTCTTGGATCCCGCCTCTTTCTGATGCATTTGAGATTATTTTTGGTTACAAAACTAGATAGGCTGCTATCCTAAATCTGAATAGCTGGCATCATTGAATTACTAAAAACAGTACACACGTTACTAGTTGACCACGAGTAGATCTCAACAGTTTTGACTCACTGTATGTGTTATGGTGAAATAGGAGTCAGCAGTTTGTTATCACACACAAAAGGTACTTAAATATTAATAATACACTGCATAAAGGATATGAATGTACCAAAATCTTAATAGCTAATTTCCTTAATGGATTGAAAGGACTTAAAATGTACAAGGCAGGTGTGGCACTAAATCGGAAGATTGCCTTCCCTTTGTTCAATACTATAAAGGTCTGTAAAGGAAAAATAAAGTGATGATTAGAACAATAAATGTTGCCAATAAAGCATATTATGCATTTTACAAGTTTTCTTGCATGAACCCTCTGAATGCGGAGATGGTGGAGGAGATAATTTAGTGGTGATGTCACTGAGTAAACAATCCAGAGGCCCAGGCTAATATGCTGGGGACATGGGTTCAAATCCTACTAAGCATTTAAATTCCAAATCCGCCAATGAATAATAAGCAAGTCTCAGTAGTGGTGACCTTGAAACTGTTACTGATTATTGTTAAAACCCATTAGATTCATGAACATTCTTGAGGAAAGGAGATTAGCCATCTTTACCTGGTTGGGCCAACATGTGACTTCAGTTCCACAGCAGTGTTAACTGCCCTCTGAAATGGTGTGTCACTCAGTTCAAAGGCAATGGAGGGTGGACAACAAATGTTGGTTTTGCTACTGATGACCGCATCCAAGAAAACAATTAAAAATAACACCATTTATATTCATTATCAGTATAGAATCATAAAATCCCAATGGTGCGGAGGCAGAATATTTGACCCATTGAGTCCACACTGACGCTCTGAACAGCATTCCACACAGACCCAGCCCCCTACCCTACAATCCTGCATTTCCCATGGCTAATCTACCTAGCCTGCACACCTCTGGACACTAAGGGGCAATTTAGCATAGCCAATCCACCTAACCTGCACATCTTTGGACTGCAGGAGGAAACCCACACAGACGCAGGGAGAATGTACAAATTCCACACGGGCAGTCCTCTGAGGGTGGAATCGAACCTGGGTCTGTGGTGCTGTGCTGTGAGGTAGCAGTGCTAAACACTGAGGCACCATGCCACCCTAGTATTCATCAATAAAATACTGACTAATTGAAGAAAATATGTATAAACATTTCAAGGTGAAGCTAAATAATTACAATAGAAAGTACCATTTAGATGGGACATTCAGTGTGCAAAAGCTATGTCGAAATCAAAGTCTGACAGCACATATCCACATGCTCGCTAAGCAAAATAATTATTTTATCATCCCTTCTGAAGAAATGCTTACTTGCAGAAAATGACTTCCACATTTCCAAACCATTTTGTTATGTTCAATACTTTACAGATATAAATCAACAATTTAGGACTAATTAAAAGTATAAAAAGTAAGAGTTGACATAGAAGCTGTGGGCGTACAGGCTATTCATTTTAAATAAAATCAAAATACTGTGAATGCTGGAAATCAAACAAACACAGAAAATACTGGAGAAACTCAACAGATCTGGAAGCATCTGTGGAGAGAGAAACAGAGTTAATGTTAAAAGTCTAATACGAGTTCTGGAGAAATTATATCAGACTTGAAATATTAACTTTGTTTATCTCTCTACAGATGCTGCCAGACCAAAGTCTCTCCAGCATTTTCTCTGTTTATTTCAGCCTACTGATCTGCTCCTTCATTTAGTGTGATTATTACGGAATGTGCACATCAGCTCCACTTTCCCAGCTTGTTCCTATCTTCGCTGAGTAGCCAAGCATCTGTGAGTCATAGTCTTAGATACATTCATCAGTGGTGCATTCGCAGACCCTTTGGAATACAGGATTTCAGACATTTCCAATCTTCTAAGTAAAGGAATTTCCCGTAATTTCAATCCAAAATCCCTTATCTTGAGATTATGAACTCCAGTTTACAGCCCCTCAGTCAAAGAAACAATCTCAGTGTTTATATTAAAAACTGTAAAATGTACACCTTTCAATTGAAACACATCTTATTCTCAGAAATCCAGAGAATCTAAGCCCATTCTATTCAGTCCCTTCTCATTGGCAAGCCTCAATAAGTCTTTGTTACATTTCATCGAAGTATATACTTCCTTGTGTAAGGATACCAAAATCGTTTGCAGTATTGTAAGAGAGGTTTCACCAAATTCAAGGGAGGCATAGTGGCTGAGTAGTTAGCACTATCGCCTCACAGTGCCAGGGACCCAGGGTATGGTTCCACCCTTGGGCAACTGCCTGTGTGGAGTTTGCACATTCGCCCCGTGTCTGCGTGGGTTTCCTCCAGGAGCTCCAGTTTCCTCCGACAGTCCAAAGATGTGCAGATGGATTGGCCATGCTAAATTGCTCATAATGTCCAGGGAAGTGCAGGCTAGGTGGATTAGTCATGGAAAATGCAGGCTTTTACAGGTAGGAGGGTTGAGTCTGGGTGAGATGCTCTTTGGAGGGTCAGCGTGGATTTGATGAGCTGAATGGCCTGCTTCCACGCTGTAGGGATTCTATGATTCAAATCCTTCTGTAATTGCACTAAGACTTTCTTACCCCTACACTTCAACACAAAGCTAACAAATTAAAGCTAACATACCACTTTATTCATTGCTTTCTGTATCAGCATATCAACTTTCTGTGATTTATCCATAAAGGACAACCAAAATGCCATACCTGCTCATCTCTCAGCTCTTAAAAGATATTCTGTTTTTTCATTTTTTTTGCCGAAATGGGCAGTTTCACTTCATCACGTGCCTGCATTCCTTGCATCTGCCAGTTTATTGCCACCATTTAACAAGCCTACATTCCCTTGTCATTTCTTTGCATCCATCTCACAGATTACTTTCCCGTTAACTTTGTATCATAGCCAAATCTGGTTATATGACACTTTGAATCTGCAACTAAGTTACTGATGTCACAATGTTCAGAGTCAACAAACTTAAAATCTTACATGCAGACAGCCAGATAAATGAATCTACTGTGGTCGGATGTTAAAGTTCCTGAGTTAGATGAATATCTTAGAATGTGTTGTGGATGATAATGTTAAGGAGGAAGTGGAAAAGATTAAATGAGGGAGCTGAAAGCACAGTCAATAAGATTTTTGAGAGGAAAATAAAACAAAGAACTGCAGATGCTGAGAAAAAAAAATCGAAATTGCTGGAGAAACTCAGCAGGTCTGGCAGCATCTGTGTAGAGAGAAACAGAGTTAACATTTCGAGTCTAGTGTTCTGACGAAGGGTCACTGGTTCCAAAACATTAAATCTGTTTCTCTCTACACAGGTTTTCAACAGACTGTCAAAATAAATTGTGAGGTAGTGAAGTTAATAAATTATGGGAAAGTTTTGAAGAGCAAATCATCATTGATTTCACTAACATGTATGAAGTGGCAAGAGTGAATCAACGGTCTGTTCTGAGAATCCCCAACTTCAATTTCCATTAAAAAACAGAATGACAAAGCAGGTTAGCAAAGAGAGGAAAGAGGAAGGGTAAGAGACATAGAAAGAGCGTAATAGAGAAGAAAAGAACAGCAATAAGGAAGTATGGAAGAAATGGCTTAACAACATCAAATTATTTTCTTAAGAAGTCACTGAAAGGGGATGGTCATAGAGATATGTGGATGAATAGGATTCACAAGAAGCACATTGATTGCTTTTAGTGTCATATTCCAACTATATCCAAGAGGTGAAAGTTTTCCAAAACTAGTTATTCACCATCTAGAAAGTAAAATGTATTCCCAGCAGCAACAGCAGAACAAACTCAATCTTCATTTTAGCTGCCTGGTGAAAACAAATCCTTAATAGACATGGGTGATAATTAAATGAGAAACTAAAGAACAAGATCAGTTCTGCACAGGTAACACTTATAAAGCATGAAGTTTCACATTCTACTTTTCCCACATAAAAAAACTTGGAAGAATCATGAGTAATTATTGCTAGTTGTATGTAATTTTACATATAAATAGATGTAATTATTGATAATATAACAGCTGCCATGTTATATGCAGGCAAGATTCTTTTTCAAGACAAATCAAGAAAGAAAAATCTCAAAATTATAAAACTGTTTGTGCTATTGCAGATGCACATTCAGTCAAAAATCTGATCAACACTCACTTTTTGTGTGCTGTAAAATGGGTCCAGGTCTTCCAATGGCTCAGAAACCATCCCTGGAGGTATATCACCATAAATATATGGTAGTGATTTACCGGCTTCCAAATCACGATTTGGTTTTGGGCCATTTTCGTCGTCATCCACATGATGGTCCTTGGGTTTCTTGGCTTTTTCCTCTGCAATGCATCTCTCAATAGTTGCAAGAGATTCTCGGGTAAAAAGGCGGAGGCTGTCTGGTCCTGGTGGTGCAAGCAGTGGCTGCGCCATCTTTTCATTGTGCACCTTGGAGATTAACCTCGAGCCTCTTACGTAAGAACGTTCTGGATTAAAATAAAATACTTATTTCAAAATGTATTTTAACTCAAATCTATTTACAGAATTAGAGACAGAAAAACTGCAGATGCTGGAATCCAAGATAGATGAACAGGAGGCTGGAAGAACACAACAGGCCAGGCAGCATCTGCAGGAATGGAGCAGTCAACGTTTCAGGTATTACCCTTCTTCAGGGTAATGGCTGCTCCTTTCCTCAAGATGCTGCTTGGCCTGCTGTGTTCTTCCAGCCTCCTGTTTGTCTACTTACAGAATACCTACCATTACACAGATAAAGTCTTTGGAATCAACTTGCAACTGCTTTATTTCAGACTTGTCTCAAACAACACACATTTTGTTTTATTTATGACTTGCTTCTCACTTGTACCTTGATTTTCAATTTTAGAGTTTAATGTTATGTTACTCTTTGGCTGATTAGAATAATTTAAAAAGGTGTATTTCTGTTACTTGCATTGCCGTTTACATTGTAAAGAATTCCCTCTGGCTCCAACATCTATCTAGAGAAAACAGCTGAAATCTTTCCAAAATTGGCTCCGACAGCACAGTCTCAACCAAAGACCAGATAAAAAAAAACTTATTGAGGCAGGCGACAGGATCCAGAGAGCATCTTCCTGGCAGTAGCCAATTACCTGGGCATCGCCTGAGCCACAATTCTTAATAAGGGCGATAGCCCAAGGAGAAGAGCTGCCGGCACAATCAGAGCAGCTATTGATGGCCATTGCTGAGGGCTGAAATTGCAACATTGCCTCTGTTGAGTGCCCACAAAGAATACCTGTTCAAAATCTGTCAAGTTTCACCAGACATTCTCCCCATGTTATGGAGGGAAATGGCAAATGAATGCAGGAAGTAGCCCTTCACTGGTTTCATAAGTGGCTCAGTTGGTTTCTGGATAAGTAGCTCATCAGCCAGCTTTCCCAGCACTAGCAAAATGGTATCACAACAAACCAGCAATGAGCACACCAGTCGATACCCTCCATGACATTCTGCCATACTTCTCATCTCACAGCCCTTCAAAACAGGGAAGTTAAAATTGGAGCAAATATTATTAAGATGCATCCTTTTTTTTGTCATTCATGCTCAGGCAAAATAAAAAGCACACTTCAAAAATAAATTAATTCTTCCCTTCCTTGTCCTTTTTCATCATGAAGAAAATCTTCTGTTTAAAACAGCTACTCCCCAATCCACTCTCTGGTATATTGTAAAAAAAAGTTTTAAAAAAATTTTTAAATATTTTTGAAAAATGCAAAAACAGGGAGGCAGATTATTATATGAACAGTGGCAGTTTAGGAAAAGCAGAGGTGCAATGAGACTTGGGTGTCATGGTGGAATAGTCGCTGAAGGTTGGCACACAGGTGCAACAGACAGTGAGGAAAGCTAATGGCATGCTGGCCTTCATAGCGAGAGTATTTGAGTATCATGGTAAAGGTGTCTTGCTGTAGTTATACGGGGCCTTGGTGAGGCCACACCTTGAGTATTGTGCGCAGTTTTGGTCTCCTAGTCTGAGGAAGGACATTCTTGCTATTGAGGGATTCCAGCAAAGGTTCACTAGACTGATTCCCAGGATGGCAGGACTGACATATGAGGTAAGACTGGATTGATGGTTCATGTATTCTCTGGAATTTAGAGGAATGGGGGGACAGGGTGGAATCTCATTGAAACATATAAAATCCTAATGCCACTGGACACGCTAGACATGGGAAGAATGTTCCCAACGTTGGGGATGTCCAGAACTAGGGGCCACACTCTAAGAATAAGGGGTAAACCATTCAGGACTGAAATGAGGAAGAATTTCTTCACTCAGAGTTGTGAACCTGTGGAATTCTCTCCCAAAGGAAGCTGTTGGAGCTAGTTCATTAGATATATTCAAGAGAGAGCTGGATGTGGCCCTTGTGGCTAAAGGGATCAAGGGGTTTGCGGGGAGGACACAAATACTGAGATTGCATGTTAGCCATGGTCATACTGAATGATGGTGCAGGCTCAAAAGGCCAAATGGCCTACTCCTGCACCTATTTTCTATGTTTCTATGTTATTATTCTAAACATGGACCCTGAAGTTGATGGGCAGTCTCGTGAGTAACTCTATGAAAGGAAATATCAAATATATGGATAAACAAATAAATTAACAAAACTTAAGGCAAATATACAAAGAAGTTAACCAACTGAGACAAATGTTCTTTGAGGCAATAAGGAAATATCATATTGCTATAAACAATTTTCAACAATTCATTTTGCTCACGTAACCTTAGAAGATTATTTATTGTGGCATGCCTACATTTCTGATGTCTATTTTCAAAATCAGAGAATCTGGAACTGCATGTATATACAGACAAATGGATTAGAAATAGGTGTAGGCCATTCAGCCCTTTATGCTGGCTTAGCCATTCAATTAGAACTTGGTTGCTCTGGTTATAGCCTCAACTTTACACTCCTGTCTATTCCCTTTGACTTGCTTGTCAATCAAGAATGTATCTAACTCATCCTTATAAACATTCAATAATCCTGCAGGACAAAGTTCCACATGTTAATGACCTCTGACAGTAAAGAAAAAAAATTGTCATCTTCATATTAAATTGGAAATCCCTTGCATGTTAATGGCATCCATTGGTTTTACTCTCTCATGTTCAAGTCCACTCAGCATCTTATATATTTCAATAAGATCATCTCTAATTCTTTTATATTCTAACTGATTTTTTTTTCCCTTTATTCGTTCAGGGGATGAGGGCATCGCTGGCTAGGCCAGCATTTATTGCCCAACCCTAATTGCCCAGAGGGCAGTTATGTATCAACCACATTGCTGGGGGTCTGGAGGCCAGACCAGGTAAGGATGGCAGTTTCCTTAATTCCAGATATTTAATGAATTCAAATTCCACCATCTGCCGTGGCGGGATTCAAACCCAAGCCCCCGGAACAATACCTGGGTCTCTGGATTAGCCGTCTCGCCATAATACCACTAGGCCACTGCCTCCCATGTGGGGGAAAGACCTAGCCTGTCCAAACTTGCCTCATAAGACAACCCCTTCAACCGAGGAATCAGTTGATTGAACTGAACTGGTTCTGATCCAATGATATTGTTTAAGTAAATAAACTGAAATCGTACAAAGATGTGGTCACCCTAATGCCCTGTACAACTGCAGCAAAACTTCTCCACTTTTATATTCTGTTCTGCTTACAATAAACAACAACATTCCATTCGCCTTCCTAATTACTTCTTGCATCTGTAATCCATACAATGACATCTATATAACTCTGTATTCCCCAAGTTCCGTAATTTCTCTCCATTTAAATGCTAGATTGCTTTGCTAGTTTTCTGACCAGAGGACAGGCTCACATTTTCCAAAATTATAGTCCATCTGCAATTTTTTAGTCAATAATCTACCTATATTCTTTTGCAGACTCCTTGGACTGAATCTTATGTTTCTTTTTGGCTAAGCCCACTTTGCATTGTATTTTTGGGAGAGATTTCTGCTGCGAGGCCAAATGAGCTGACCTGCCCTATTTTGCCAAATTCGCCTCATTAACTTCCTACAACTCCCCTGTAGCATCTATAGCATCTGCCCCATTCTTGCCACATGCCATTCCTGGAACAACTTGCCACTCTGTGGCTATCCGCTGAAACAATGACATCCCTTACACCTGCACTACCTTTAAAAGTCTATTGTGCACCAGGACGAGCGCTGACATTTTGGAGATTCCTTGCTTGTTGTCAGACAGAATGAGAACATATTGGCAAAAGGAAAGATGGCACTGCATTTCTCCAACAGAATGGCGCAGAGGAGAGATGTTATCTTCTCAAAGGACCAGCAGAGGTGACTGCGCCACCAGACTTAGGCAGACTGGTTGGAAGTCGCCTTCGGATCAGTACTGTCTCCTGTACTGGGGAGGAACAGACAGCAATGCAGAACAAAGGTCAGTGACCTTCTGCACTCTGCCCAGTAAGTGCCACACTCCTCTCTCTATGCTACCTCACGTACATTATCTCTGCTACTGAACCCACCTTCCACCACGGCTCATGTTCTGCCACTCTATAAATTTCTGCCCATACAGCCTATGCCCAATATTCTTTCTCTGTAAAAGACCTAATGCTTGGTTTTTGCTGCAGGTCAAGTCAATTACCCTGCCCACTCTAAGTATGGTCACAGCCATTCTTCTCACCATTGCCCACTTTTGATTTCCAGCATAATGAACGGCAACAGTGAGCGCTCCTCTACCTGTGGTTTTCATCCTGAACCTGAATGTTCTGGTAAGCCCCCAAATATTTACACCTCCTTCCTAGTAGTCCATCCATTTACCCCGTAGGCTTCACTCTTCTCCAAGTTCCCACCCAACCCATCTATATGCATCTACACCTGCCTACCCCTCCCAGCCAGAGTCTGGCATATTAAGTGACCGTGTTGGGTGTGGTCATTCAGTGCGTAACCACCCCTCCCCTGCCTTGAGGCCAGGCTGCTCTAGACTGTACATGACCCTCTATCCTGCATTACCCCATTCCCAGCCATGCTGTACCAGATCCCACCTCGTAAATCCTGCTACCCTTCATTCACAATTCTACTGCAAACCTGCAAAAGCTCATCCCAAAGATTAAACTGCCGAAGTCCAGTCCTGTGGCAACAGCTGTATCTTTCACTCCCACCCACCCCCCACCACAACCCCACAAAAAACACTTCCCCCTTAGTTTCTGTGGACAGATCCAATGAGTTGACTGTGGTCCAACCCCTAGACCAACAATACGTGCCCAGAGCCCTGACTGGTGCATATACTCCTCCCTTACAGCATTAGCCCAAGCCTCTGGACTTGTTGCCACATAGCCAAACAACTGACTGTGACTAACTCCCTGATCAACAGAGTCACAGACCGTAATAGCAGCCAATTCCCTGGCCTGGTATGGGAGGCTGTCTTTGACTTACTGTGCCAAGACACCCTGATGGGTGCCTCAATGGCCTTCATTGAGGAACATGCCCTAAGGCCTTGAGACATGGCTGCCTACTTACACA